TGTTGGATTTGGCAGGTGGTCAGAGAGGGCAGTTCAGGGGTGACTAATGGCTTGGCACCAGGATTCTCAGGATCAGGAGAGGCAGGGAACTTCTGGAAGAACACAGACAGGAACATCATCATCAATTGAGTGGTTGCCCATCCTTTTGGTACCCAATTACTACGGTGCGGCACATTCGTGGCTGTTGGCTTTCCAACAAATCCGTCTACTCCAGTACTGACTCTGTAGTTACCGCTGAGGAATAGATATAGGCAATTGATATACGGGCAGGGCACAATTGATACACGGGCAGGGCGTTATCCGGGCAGGGCAATGCGGAAGCTCCTATTGGCTCAAAATTTCCTGTTAAGCAGGGTCTTTCACTGTCAAAATTCTGCCGCATCCTCTCCAGATTTCCAGCTGGCAATGGTCTGCCCAACCCCAACTGACGTCAAAGCATCCCCTTTTGTCTTCGCCTGCGTATCAATCGCATAATGGCTCGCTTCTCCAACAGCTCCCGAAAGCGATCCCGATCTGGACACGATATCGCCGACCTAGATGAAGCGCAATCCCAAACCAAGAAGCGACTCCGACGCGATACCTCCGATGCGCGCGAGCGGACCAGGCCCCTTCAAGCAGTAGCTTAGGGCCTGACCCTGAGGAATGGTACGGCTATGGCGACGACAATGCTTTGTACAATCTCTTCGCGACCAATCCTCCGGCACATTTCACAACAATACCACGACCCCATGAATCCCAAGGGTTGGACGAGCCCTGGTGGGAACTGCGCAACGACTCTGAGATATTTCTCTCCCTCGATTTCCCGACCCCCGCGAGACCGATGCACCGGGTCCGGCAAGCCTTGCCAGGCCCGATTCTGAGCGAACGAATACAAGCACAACGAGATGCGAAGGAGCAAGAGAAGAAACGAAGGATGCAGTTGAGAGGCCTTGATACCGGATTCCGTAGCGCTCTCGAAGTCCACAGGGAAGAGGATATAGAGTCCTATGCAACTCATCCCGTGTTGCCATACGATCCTATCGAAGTTGGAAGGTAATGTTCCACTGGCAAAATGGGACGTCCACCCGAGATGGCACTTACGGCAACCGACATCTACCGACCCTTATCGTCGCATCCTCGACCCCAAGATTGCCACATCGCTTCGTGGTAAGGCCAAAGAACGTTATCACGGGATTGATAGGCAGTCTTGGGTATGGTGTTGAACTGCAATAGTTGCGCAAGGAACCAGAACTGTGGGCTGTGCGCAGCTACGGGAAAACCCTGCAGGGCAGAGCTACGCACAGACCATCTCCCTACATAACGCAGCCCTAACCCTGTCACGGGACTATCCCGTGACAAACGTTGCCCAGCCGGTCCCTCCCCACCTAGCCATCGACCGGGTGAGCGTACAGAGCCAGAACGGACAAGAGGATGCGCGCCTAGGGGCTAGTCTGCCAGATGGGAGTCAGCCACGGCGCGGCAGGGGCCGGCCTCGCGGGAGCAAGGATAAGTCAACGCTAGCTCGGCTGAAAGCACAGGCGACGGTCCAAACGGAAAGCGGCCGGTCTCTACCGACTCGTGGGGGGGCAGGCGGCGGCCAGAATACAGCACTTGGGCCAGGTAAGGCAGTAGGCGTACGCGCCAGTGGTCCGAAGGTCCAACCCAGCGTACGGAGACGGATATCTCAATGGGAACTCGTGCAGAGCAGCAGTGACAAAGAGGTCTTGCATAATACGAGATCTACTCGACGTGGAGGGCGTGTATGATATTAACTAGCTAGTTGTTTCGGAGAACCCTTTGAAATCTGGAAGGCTGTCACGAATTAACCAACGAAATGCCGCAGAAAGGACGGTCATGCGAGCGTGGGACGCGGGCGTCCCGGACCAATCACTGAGGCGTTCTGGGTGCTCTCCGGAAAAGCACACGGAGCAGGGTGCAGTGATCTGGGTGCTCCTTGTGAGAGCATACTGAGCACGTGGATGCTCTGTAGGATCCGTGACAGAGCGGGCAGAGCATCGGGACGAGGAAGCTTGTATTTAAGTTCACGCTCTCTACGCCTGCGGGTACTTACGATAGCTTCCTCAGTAAGCAATGCAAGCAGTTGTCTCGACTACTGTGTGAACACTTGCTTGTGCGTTTGTTGTGAACCCTTTGGCTTCACTAGATCTTCACCCCGACCCCAGTGATACCTTCAGGAGTCCCTTTCAGAAGTAGGGGCTTGTCGATTTGTCACAAAGGCAGAGGAAATGGTGTTAGTGTTAGTGACTTGGCCTTCACCGCTTTGAGTGGGGAGATGGTAGCAGCTGTCGAAAATTTTGAGCCAATAGGAGCTTCCGCATTGCCCTGCCCGGATAACGCCCTGCCCGTGTATCAATTGTGCCCTGCCCGTATATCAATTGCCTAGATATAATTCGAGGTAAGGGGTTAATTGCCCATATGGAAAATATTGCCTTTGGAAAAGGAACAATCAGAATTCGGACTGAATAAAGCGATCCACATCTTAAGGAGACTCAGCACAGATGTTCGGTAAGTGACGAATGTGCCTCAGAAACATAAGAGATGACAGCACTATGAGGGGTCCGTGGGAAGTGAAGATGGTCGTATACTAGCTGCCAGCACAGTCAATGAACCTTCATCTCCGCCTCAGATTCCGACCCGATGAGGGCTGGATAACTCAAGGCGGAAAGTGCCATGTATCGTGTTCTGTGCTCAACTTCCTTGAAACTCGCCAGGTTCGCCAGAGCACCATATCCAGGTTCCGAGCGGTGCAGGCTGTTTCAAGCTTCTCTACCTTCGGGATCCAAGGCCACGCCATACCAAAAGCAGATTAGGATGTGTAAAGTTCGACAGCATCAAAGATCTGTATGCCAGACAAGAACCATCAGCCAACCGTCATGAGGCTATACAAGTGGAAGAGCGGCTTACGAAGTTGGGGCTCAGGAACGTCGTGCCAGAGCTGCCAGAGATGGAGCTGATGGTGATGGTGTTCGTGCCAGCCACGAGCGTGCCCGCCGGTATGCTGACGGTGTACACCTCACCGTGCCCGCGGTATGCGCCTCGCGTAACACCGCGGCTGTCGATCTTTGTGGGCGCCGAGGGCGCGGGCCCCGTCCAGCTGTTAACTTTTACCTGTGGGCGGCTGCTCGCGAAGCTCAACGTGGTAGCGATGCGCAGAGTGGCTGCCCCTGGGGCGCTGGCCAGGTTGAATTTTATCGTCACGGGGTTGTTGACTGCCTGAAAGACGGCCATGGGGAAGTCGGAGAGCTGCGAGCTGCCCACCGTGTACGTCAGGGGGCCCCAGCTCGCCATGCGGCTGTCGCTTGGGTGCATCCGGAGGAACTTGTCGGCGTTGCGGAACCCTGTCGGCTGGCCGTCATACTCGCCAATCTGGAAGAGCGTCTTGCGGGTTGTATTGAAGGTGCCGGCGATGTTCTGGGTCGTAGTTTTGCCAGCCGATACGGTTACCGTATTCGTTGCGATCTTGAACTCGGTCTCTGTTTTACCATGTCAGTTATCGAATACTAATCGGGCTGTGTCGGGTGTAATTCGGAGCAAAAGTTGCAGTTTCGGGAGCAAACAAAGCTCCGAGGCAGTCGAAAAGGGGTATGAACAATTTGGGAATTGACGTACGATACAGCACCATGGTGTACGTGCCCGGCTTCATCAAGGGCGACGTGAAGGCTCCGCTGGAAGACGTCTTGGCCCAGTACTGTGCCGCGCTGTTGTACCAGTGGACCACGCCCTGCATGCCGCTCTGCACGCCTGTCGCCGTCCCCTTCACGGTTCCACGGCCGGATGCGGGAACGTAGCCCGTAACCGAGACTTCTCCAAACCACGAAACATCGAGGTCTTTGACGCTCGGAATCCCTGAGCGTGAGAACTGCATGGCATAAGGCCCGTGGAGCCCCATGCGGTACGCCTCGGTCTGCACATGGCCGCTGTTCATATAGTTGTACAGGTTGGTGGAGTCCCCGGCATTGTTGGAGTCAATGTCGCGGAAAAAGGGACCTCCCGACGAGGACTCCTGTTGGGGAGTCATGATGCAGACATGGATCAGGTCGCTGCCCCCATAGACGCAGTGCGAATCCTCGTCGATGAACCGGGTCGATGAATAGAACTTGGACCTTGTCTGTCCGTTGACGACAAAGACGTCGGAGCCCTCGACGGTCGATGTGGCGCCGGCCGTGTTCGAGACCACTCCGTAGGGGTATTCGTTGGGCAGCTTGTCGGGCAGGAGACGGGCAATGAAGCGCAGCTCACCCACCGACGGCTGGGCGGTGATGTAGGTGGCCATGTAGATGATGCTTTCGCCTTCGCGGATCACCATGTAGTGCGTCAGGGTCGATGTCACACATGTGACCTTGATGTATCGAGACGAGCCGCTGATCTGGCTGATGGACACGGTGGCAGTGCCGAGTCCGGAGCTGATGTGACTGCCCTTGCCTCCGTACTGGAACTCGGTGCCGCGAAACTTGATAGAGTTGATGTCGCAGCTGGACTTGCTCACCGAAATCACCAGCGCGTTGGAGGAGCCGGCGTCAACGACATAGTTATTGCCGGACGACGTGTAGCCGAAGGCACCGAAGACGCCCGGGGCGAAAAAGGAGGCGGACAAAAGAAACAAACGAACGACGAACAGGAGCTCCATGTTGAGCACTTTGCCAGGTTCGCGCCTGGGACTTAGAATGAAAGATTTCTTTTAGACAGACAACATCGCACCCATTGCTCGACGACCCATTGCAGGCATAAGTAGTGCGGCGAGAACATGGTAAATGCCATGTCCTCCTAGAAATCTCGGTTGCCCTGTTCAGGGAGCGGGTGGGTGCTGCCGCACTAATCACAGCCGATGAAGCGATTGGCGGAACTGGATCTGGGGTTGGAGATAGCAGTTCACGGAACCTCTCGACGTAGCATCTAATGGGGTAGTTCCAACCATCGGAGGCTCCTGGTGTGTTTTGGACATGCCAAGACGGTGGATCTGCCGCCGCCAAGAATCCGGCCTAGTCCGGCGCCGAAACCGAAGAAGAACAAGCTCCGAAAGGGTGTCATTGAGGGCATCGCTTAGCACCCAGGCAGCAGGGTCAAGGCATGCCCCCTTCTTTGGTCCTGAAATGAACAGGACTCAGAAGCTTACGTACCCATCTCTTCAGCAAAACCAACAACCAGATGGAGCTGTGAGTGAATAAGTCGCCCTTGGAGTTGTTTCAAGCTTCCCAGAGGCCCAATTTTGTGAACCGCATCACGGCTTGGAAACTTCCACCGGGCTTAGCAAAGGATGCCAGCAACGCATTTCTGGGCACGGACTGCGACGACTGAAGCGTGGTGGAGAAAAGCCTAAGGACGCTTTTTGATCCTGAACATTCCTGGTACTTGTTGGATCGACGATGGCTGATAGGTGGCTGCTGCTGTTGAGAGCCCAAGTCGAAAGCGTTAGTTAAAACCAGGAAGAGGAAGCCGACGAGAAGCACTCAGAAGTTCCGGCAAACGCTCGTGTTGCAGATCAGGTTCCTCGCGCACTGATCGATCGCCACGGCTGAGCGCCCTGGCTACACTTCAACTTTCTCGTCGTCCTCCTCATCCCCACTCAGCGAACTCCTCTCTTTTTCCCCGACCATTCACAACAACATTGGTTCCCGTCCTTCACGTTAGTTTTGGCTGCGCATCATGAGTGCAAAGCGAACACTGAGAGATCCAAACTCCGGAAGGGAATATGTCAAAGCTCGCTGGAATTGTGTCCGCCGCCGCCCAAACGAATCACCCGACCCAACCGTAGCACCATGAGAATCCGTAGGGAATCGGCGCAGCCTCAGCGCCGTGTAGAATTTTGTGGAGAGCAAGATCGCGATACCGTTCTACCGAACGCCCATCCTTGATATTTCCCACCCTTCCGTCGCCGCAGCTTACGGCGAATATCTGGCCAAATTGGCCGATATGGCAGCTGAATGCTGTGCCACTTTCCCCTCAACACCTAACCTTCGAAACACCGGTCCTCTATCTAAGGCGGCGGGCCTCGCGCTCGGACTCAAGAAGAACCAGGATGTCGTCCTCGCGGACTGGACAGGATGCAGCATTAGTCACTGGGCGGCTCTGTCGAAGAAGAAAGCTGCCCGGGGCCTGGTGGGGGGGGGGGGGGGGGGATGGTTTGGCGACATACCAGGGCCCTTGACGTTCCTGATGATGGAACGAGTGGTATCGTCCATGAACTCGACGCGGACCTGGGTGACGCCACCACGAGAGCCTGAGACCGATAAATATCAGCATTTGCGCCGTTCACGAAGGGGAGAAATCGTGGTTTGAAGTGTACCGGTACGGCCGAGGACTCGGGTAACCTTGACGAGCTTGACGGGAGCCTTCGAGGAATCCATTTTCGCGACTGATCGACTTCTGTGGTGAGCGGGAAGATCGGTCGTCGAATCGGTGATGAAGAGGCGTTGTGGTATTGCGAAATTTCACCAGATTCAATTGTGCGGAGCCAAAATCGCAGGGCTGACAGGAAATTCTTATTTTCCGGTCCGTGCATGGGCCCCTGCCGGCTAGTGTGGGGTCGCTGGGGGCGAGGCCGCGAGACCTCCAGCTCCAACGCGGGTGCATGGATCTTGGCCATCGATTGCTCCAACGACTTACACGTCTGAACGGCATTTCCTCCTTTGGACATGATGGACTGTTCTACCCCAATTAGCAATTCCGGACACGCTAGCAGGGTCTCCGACTCAACCCGTAAAGTGTTCGCTCACTACATGGTATAGTACAAGCCTCTTGGATGCCATCGGCACTAAGAGTCGTGTCACAGCTAAATATTTGTTCAATGTGCAGGTTGGCCTTGCGTGCCAGCAGACGCGTGAGAAATGGGCTCGCGATATCAAAACCGCCAAGCTCGCCGGCATTGACGGGTTTGCTCTGAACATTGGTCCTTCAGATCATTGGACGGAGACACAAATCTATTACGCTTACAAAGAAGCCGAAGAAGTTCATGGATTCTCGGTTTTCATCTCATTTGAGTAGGCACAGCATCTAGGTAACCGTTTGGTACTTTGCTGCCGTAGGCTGACCAACGCCGGGGTAGCATGGCAGCCGGATATTGGGGAATTTCCCAGGCAGTTGAGCTGATTAACCGTTACAAAGATTCACCTGCACAGATGAGGGTGGACGGGATGCCGCTTGTGTCGACGTTTGAAGGCCCCAATTGGGTGGACAACTGGCCCACGATTCGTGATCAGACGGGCGGTATCTGCCTCATCCCGGACTGGTCAAGCCTTGGACCACATGGAGTCGGTCACAGACTGGATCTGATTGACGGTGCTTGTATGTTGAACACATTGGTGCTAACCGAACCGGCCTGAAGACAGCACACTGCTGACTAGACAAACACAGTCTCCTGGGATGCTTGGCCCAAGGCCGGACAGACTAAGATGACTACAGTTGAAGACCTTCTCTACAGGGAGAACCTCTGCGGAAAGAAGTACATGATGGGCGTCAGTCCGTGGTTTTATACAAGTGGGTGTGCACCGCATCTTCAAGTGGTGTCAATGGCGGTTGTCAGCGCGAACTGACCAGGGTCCAGATCTGCCACGATGGAATAAAAACTGGTATTGCTCCAGCGAGTCCCTATGGTACGATCGCTGGCAGCAGGTTTTGGAAGTCATGCCGGATTTCGTCCAAATCATCACTTGTACGTTGCTGCCCGAACGTCGACCCCGTCCACCCATCCAAATGTTGATGCCGAAAAGGGAATGATTTTGGAGAATCAAGCTACATATGTGACGCCTCTCCGCCGCAGGTGGTGAGCGGAGCAGAGAAATACGTTGCCGGCCACTGCCACGCCGCTTTCAGGGCTGTTTTGCCCTATTTGATCGCCGCGTACAAGGCTGCGCCTGTTGAGGTTGACTGGCATGGCCAAGACACAGCCATCGCCTGGTACCGCACTGCCCCGGTCCGGGCTCAGAGATATAATGGTGAGCTTCCGCTGGTTCAAAAGCCTATGTGATTTATAGCGTCGAGACTGAACCTGTTGCAGGTACGGTATGGGGCCCCGGCGGCACGGTCTCGGCCGCACATGGTGCCCGAGACGTGATATCCGTGATGGCCGTAACCAGATCTTTGGCGCGTATCAACATCGCAATTGGGACTTCCCGCCGGATGACATTCGAGACTGACAGTCGAAGCCGCGTGTCGTATTTTGAGTTGCCGTTTGACAGCCTCACCACCGGCACTGTAACGCTTACCCTGAACGGGAAAACCGCTGTCGGGCCTGAAATTAAGGGTACCTGTGAGGGTGGGAATGTAAGTGCGACGCACACGCGACACGCATATCAAACCTCGTCTTGATCGCCATTGCTGAATCCGTCTCGATTCTAGGCTTCCCTGAATGCTGTCTCCATTCATGTATAGGCGCTTCAAGGATTCTGGCTACTCCCCGTCGTTTATCATGAAAGCCCCGAGGACAAGGACGTGGTAGTTGCTGCAAGCTTCCTGCATATATGACTTGGCGGGTTCATAATGAAACTATCCCGAAAACAAGGGCGCCGTTATCCTCAAAATTATGGAATGGGAAATTGGACAATGACGAGGAGCAGAATGAGGTGTGGTGTGCGTCCCTTGGCTTTGGATCGGCTAAAATCGGCGATCCATTCCCGCCACTAAATCCAGCCATGTGCGCTTTGGTCTTGGCCCGCTTCTTCCGCGCCGCCCGTCGACGTCACAGGGTTTCCGCAGCGGGCTGCCAACTCGGCCGTCGATGTCGCGAAAAGCGCACCCCTCCCCCCCCCCCCCCTTTTAGACATAATCATGTCACACGCGGCTGACCGAGTGTACCTCGATAACATAATTCAGTTGCCAGGACTATGAGAATGCTTTTATTAGCCAATTCAATACCAATCCCTCAAATCCCCTCCGAAGAGCCGCGACGACATGAGGCCGGCTCCCACCCTTCTAGGTCGGCTCTTCTTCCGCACAAGACCGTCATTCTGCCGTGGCTCTCCCCGTGAAACCCTTAGGGGCACTTTCCGGCCTGTTCGAACAAGAAACGACAACGTCCTATTTTACACTGGGCTTCGATCGCGACCGCGATCATGGAGCAAATACCGCCGAGTCGGCCCGCAGACCCTGATGGCCGCCGCCGGTGGCGGGCTGGCTGCCAGTGCTGCCGCCTTCATCGAAATCTCCGAGAACGGCAACGGCAGTGATAGCCCCGACGATACAAGCGAGTTGCGTATGCTCGAGGTCTCTCGGGCCGAGATTCGCAAGGGACCGCGCGAAAACGACGACACTTTCACCTGGCTACGGCGCCAAGCCGTCCTGTTCCTGGATGTTTATATATGGGAACCCATATGCACCGGCGCTCGCTTGTTGCACCTCGTCGTCGTTTTTGTCCCCGTGATTCTGACGGTGCCGGCGATATGGATTGGGAGCCGTGTGCCAGAGCGCGACAATGAGCGCACAGGAACCCTCTGGTGGTACGGCTTCCTAGTCCAGGCTATGGAGTGGGCAGGCCCAGCATTTATCAAGGTAAGGCAACCTTAATACTAATTCAGGGTATGGCAACTGACATCTGGATTCCGCTAGCTTGGTCAATGGGCCGCCTCAAGGTCCGATATCTTTCCCAGTGAACTGTGCGACATCATGTCGAAGCTCCATGCTAATGCCCCGGCCCACTCGTTCCATGCGACTAAGCGGATTGTCCAGGAGGCCTTCGGCGGGCGTGATTTTGCCGATATCTTCGACGAGTTTGACGAAAAGCCGATTGGTGTTGGGGCGATTGCCCAGGTTTACAAGGCGAAGCTCAAGCCCGATCTCGCCCTCTCCGGAGACGTTGACGTCCCCAAGGATCCTTCCGACCTACGGCACAAAGTCCGCCACAACGTCGGGACCGTGCTCAAGAGCAGTCCAAAGCACGTTCCCTCGTCGTATGTTGCTGTCAAAGTTCTGCATCCCCGCGTTGAACGGATTGTGCGACGCGACCTTCGCATCATGCATTTCTTTGCCTCGGTACTCAACGCAATACCCACTATGGAATGGCTCTCGCTGCCGGACGAAGTCGAACAGTTTGGGCAAATGATGAAGCTGCAGCTAGACCTGCGCATCGAGGCGGCAAATCTGACTAGGTTCCGGGCAAATTTCAAGGACAGAACTACCGCATGGTTCCCCTTCCCCTATACCGACTTTTGCACGCGAAATATCCTGGTCGAAGAGTTTGCACATGGCATTCCCTTGGCCGACTTCATGGCAAACGGGGGCGGCGTGTTTCAGCACGATATCGCCTCCGAGGGCCTCGACGCCTTTCTGCGCATGCTCCTGCTTGACAATTTTGTCCATGCTGACCTCCACCCCGGAAATATCATGGTGCGGTTCTACGAGACGGAGCGACCTAGTCTGCCGTGGCGTCACACGTACGAGCATAATCCCGCCATGGCGCAGCAGACGGACGTGACGGAGCAGATCCTGTCGCGGCTACGCCCGCATCGCCACAATAAGGAGCTCTGGGACGCCGAGTTGGCCAAGATCGACCGCGAGGGCTTCCGGCCACAGCTTGTTTTCATCGACGCCGGCCTCGTGACGGAACTCAATGCCACCAACCGGCGCAACTTTCTCGATCTCTTCCGCGCGGTCGCCGAGTTTGATGGTTACAAGGCTGGCCATTTGATGTGTGAGCGGTGCCGGCATCCCGAGGCCGTCTTGGACAAGGAGGTTTTTGCCCTCAAGATGCAGCACCTGGTGCTCGGCGTGAAGAGCCGGACGCTCGCGCTCGGTAATGTCAAGATTGGTGACGTCTTGCAGCAGGTCTTGGGCATGGTCCGGCAACATCATGTCCGCCTCGAAGGGGACTTTGTCAATGTCGTCATCAGCATCCTGCTGCTTGAGGGCATCGGCCGCAGTCTAAATCCTGATGTGGATCTCCTGAGTAGCTCGCTCCCGATTCTGAGGCAACTCGGCGCGCAAAGCGGAAAGGACTTGGTCAAGGAGGGCGACTTTTCCATGTTGATGGTCTGGGTGGGCCTCGAGACAAGGAGGTTCATGCAGGCTAGTATTGAGGACGTAAGTTGTCTCTGCTTGTTTCCCCCTGTTCTAGAGCAATGTACTAAATTTGTGTGAACAGGTTGAGAGATGCGTCCGATACGATCTCCTCTCTCCCAATGTATGATTGGGCGGCTCGCTGGGGCGCACTTCAGCGCAATGAGTTGGATAGGGTGACACTCCCGCTTGGATGGCAAACCTCATGGTCCCCGTCGTGTCCCTGCTGAAGGGAAGGTTTATGATATCCGCGAGCGGTGGTTTTGTGCTTTTTCAACGTAAAATACAGACAGTATCAACACCAAGCCGTAGCTGTTTGTTTAAGCTTAGAAGACGAACATTCGTCGTCCCTGTGATGATGGTTTCTAGTCGAACCTAGAACCCATGTCCTTCTTGCCTTGAGTGGTTGTGGGGCGCTCGGCTTGGCACCCGTGCACTCGTGTCGACTCCCGATCAAGTCTTTTTTGCTTATCGCCATATTTTCGCAGCCCTCCAAATCAAGTCGACGTCTTATTGCGAATGTAGTGCCATACCAGGCTGACCAGTTGACGCTATATTCAATCGAATCTTGATCCCATACCTCGGACACGACAATTCGTCGCCATGGGCTGGTTTTGGGCCGACGGCAATACCAGTACTCGGGCTGCCCCTCCAGCGGACTCGAAGCACAAACATGTTTCTGGAGCGGGCGCCCCTCCTGTAAGTTGCCCGCCGCGTGTGATTTTTCTGGGTACAAAGTCCTGATCTCGTCTTTAGCCCGGATGCCCCATGCACAAGGGTACCGCTGATGCCCTGACTTCTCACGGCGCATCCTCAAACCCAGCAGCCGCAACCTGCCCCGTTCCTCACGGCAATCCGACCACGAATGAGAAGCTATCATCCTGCCTCGTCCCACACAACAGCCAAAGCGCATCGCCAACAGAGCAGCGACAGGAGTCGTCCGTCTTCTCCAAACTCAACCCCCTCAACTACATGTTCCAGTCAATCCCGCAGGACCGGGCCCCGAATCAAACATACGCGCTTCCGACAAGTCGAGACGAGTCTTCCATCCCAAGGGGCAGCGGCGACGGCAACTGGGAGTACCCTTCGCCGCAGCAAATGTACAATGCATTACTCCGCAAGGGCTACACCGACACGGACATCACGGCTGTGGAGAGCATGGTTGCCGTCCACAACTTTTTGAACGAGGGCGCCTGGGGCGAGATTGTCGAATGGGAGCGCAGGTTCGGCAAGGGTCTCTGCCGGGGCTGGGAGGTCAGCAAGCGCGGGGAGGAGAACGCGCCGTTGGAGCTGCGACGGCTCGAAGCGCAGGAGGGCGGGCAGCAGCCGCAGCCCACCCTGATCAGGTTTCAGGGGAGGCCCAATGATATGACGCCCAAGGCGGCGATGTTGCAGATGCTAGGGAGGATATATCCATCCAAGTTTGGGTAAGTCTGGACCAGGCGCAGCCAGTTTTTCGTTTGCGTGTAACTGACAACGCTTCGGCGTGTTTGTAGCACCGAGCCGCCTTTCGACCGCCACGACTGGTATGTGTCGCGCAAGGTTGGCGACGGCGAGAGCAAGGAGGTCCGATACGTCATTGACTTCTACTCGGCACCACCCGAGCCCACCGGTGAACCCGTCTTCTACCTTGACGTTCGGCCTGCCATTGACACACCGACCCGGGCCGTGGAGCGCTTGATGCGATGGGGCGGAGATATCTGGTGGAGGGCCTCGGGGGCCGAAGTACGCGAGGCCAGCCGCCAGAATCAGCAGGGTTGAGATAGCGCATGTCCGAAAATCGACCGACAGGGGAGCCCTCGAGGGTCAAATGGCATTTGATGAACGGCGTCATGAATGGTGTGTTGTCTGGGATTCCTGGTTTAGGTTCAACGTGCATGTGTTCTTACTCTCTCTCCTCATGGCGGCTTTTTACCCTGTACGATAGTCGGGCCAGGTCACCCTCTTATCGATGATCGACCTTCAGGCATGGCACCTTTTATGAATGTACAAGTACCCTTAATTATATTGTATACCTACAAGACAGTCCAGTGGTCCTCAACGGTTCGGGATTAGCGTGGCTTGGCACTGCGACCTGCATGTGGAAGGGGCCATCGCCAAAGGGGGGGGTCTCAAGTTCACCTCCGCCCGCCCGACCACCTCACAAGGTTACCCCTCATGTTGTGTTGCCTTGACGGACACGATTGGTATGCTGATCAAGAGCACTACAAATCATTCACTGACGGCACACCGAGTAACATGCTCGGCAACCAGAAATCGAACGCGGCCACAAGCACCCAACCGGAACTTCCGGCTGAGGACGCTTCCGCAACAACTGAGTTGCCGGTTCAGGATGACGGTTCTGTGTCGACCACAGGGCTCACCAACTTCTCTGTTGATCTGAGCGTATGTGTAGCCCATATTTCTTTGCATCGTGGGACAGTCTGACAACACCAGGTCGACTACGAGCGTGAGGGTGGTCCGAAAGTTGCTTTGGACTCGGTGGTGTAAGTCCTCCGACACGACATGCTTACCTTCCCAAGTCAGGAATTCACTAAGAACACCTCTGATGAATTAGGTCACCGTCGAACGTCTCTGCGGCCTCCAGTCTGTACGAGTTTGTGCAGGAGCATGGACGAACCTTTCACAAATACAAGGAAGGGAGTGAGTTCACCTGCCACGAGTGTTACTACTCATTCAAGTGTGCTGCGGTCTGCATGACTGACCGGCCGGCAGAATACTTTCTTCCGAATGACCAAGTAAGAGATGACCTCAACCGTGACAGCTCTCCGCGACCCCTAGGATTGACCAATGGATGAACGTAGCGGGAGCAAAACCGTTTAGGTATGTCCGTGACTATCCTTTGCGTTCTTTGCCTTTGCCCATGCTGACTACTTTTAGACCTGCAGCACAGCATATCGAAGTTCCTGCTCAAGGGAAAGCTTGGGCTGGCACCGATTGAGAAGCCTGGCCGTGTTCTCGATCTGGGAACCGGCACGGGCATCTGGGCAATCGAGTTTGGTAAGCAATTTCCTGTCGTTCTCTCGCTCAGCGTCCCCGAATCACCACTCAGTTCTCCCCCTGTCTTTCAACCCTGTTGGTGGTGGTCCTAACCTTGATCTTGCCAAGCCGAGGAGAACCCAGAATCCGAGGTACTGGGTACTGACCTGAGCCCCATCCAACCGGCCTACCTGCCGCCCAATTGCCGTTTCGAGATAGACGATGTCGACGACGACTGGGCCTACAGCCACAGATTTGACTACATCCATGGCCGCTATCTGCTCCCATTCATCAAGAAGGATTGGAATCATTACTTCAAGACCATCTACGACAACCTGAACCCCGGCGGATGGGCCGAATGTCAGGAAACCATCATCTATTTCCAGTCGATTGACGGATCTCATGAAGGCACCGCTCTGCAGCGCTGGAATACCCTCCTGCTCCAGGCCATCCAGCGGATGGGCCGCAGCGCCACCGAGGCCCTGCGCTGCAAGACCTACCTGGCCGAGGCCGGATTTGCCAATTTGGGTGAGAAGAAGTTTGCGGTGCCCATGAACCCGTGGGCGAAGGGCAAGGAGCAGAAGGCGATTGGCTCCATGCAAATGCAGAACAATCTCGAGGGCATCGACGGCATCACCATGACTGTATTCACTCGCGCTCTTGGGTGGGTACCAGCCGATGTCGAGAAGCTGCTCGTTGACGTGAAGAACGACTTGCAAGATCGAAGTATCCATGCCTATATTACCGTGTCAGTGAACCATGGCATATCCAGGCAATCCTGCGCCCGCTAATTGAGAGCACAGGATCGTCGCATGGGGACAAAGGCCCGGTTAGAGCCTGGTTGGAGAGCAATGACTTGTTATGTGATGTTTGTAAGGAGCTGGGGTTTTGGTGGTGCTGCTCCTTGACGGAATCATTTGCTGAACCTCCGAGTATATGTTCGTCTTGTACATCGACAACTCTGCTGGAGCTTTGATTTGGAACCAAGAGCCTGGTAAACAAGCGGTAGAATCTGCTCCAGCGTTCCGCTTTCCTTGGACGGGCTTGGTGCTTCTGCTCGAGCAACCAGCGAGTTTGATGGAGGAGACAAGAGACGAGAAAAGTACGTGGAGCGGGCGCAATCAGGTACACACGATGAGGCCCATTGGTTCCTAGGCAGGCTTGAAGGCTGATAAATGGGCGTTCGATCATTGGCTTCTTCAAGGTCGTCTCTGAGTTCTGTGGCGCCTCGACGTCACACAGGAGCCCATAGACGCACATTTTCTCCTTCTGTGGGAGTGCGGGGTTGAGATAAGGGAGATCCGTATAATGGCAGGAGCGAGCCAACATTGCGCCTGAGGGTCAGATATAGTTGGTTGGCTCAATCATCAGGGGACGGTATCCTAGCTGAAAATGAGTTTCTAATACACTCGATGGTTGGGAACAAGCAGTAACTCGAATAAGCGACGCCTTCTGTCGCCGGAGCTTCGTTAGCGGATGGCGGCTTCAGTCTAGGAGAGTGAACACATTCTTGTCAGCACACGATCGGGCGAGCAATGACCGAGTATGCAGACGAATTGCTGTTGTGCACTGCTGCACCAAGTGAGAGTTCAGCACAGAGTTGCCCAAAGAATGTGCAAGTGAAGTTTGATTAAGTTGCTGCACGTTCAGATGACAGATGATTGTCAGCTGAAAAGCTTATCTGCCAGCTGCCGAGAATTTTGGCTCCATGATTTTCTGTAATTCTGGTTTCGCTGAGCTGAGAGCTTACACTCGCATCCTATCTTTGTTCAACAAGTTCCAAATGGCAGCCCCCAAAAGCTGACCTTCCAAATCCCTACGGCAATGACGGATCGCGAAGTGGAAGCGCAATCATCACAACCGACGCCAACCTCCTCCGATTCGCCCTTTGTCCGGCTACATGTCACGCCCCTCGACCCGGAACTGCTGAAAGTTGTCCTGTCACTGGCCCTGCTTCCCAAAGCTCGCAACATATCCTACCACGCCATTGAGACATTTCCTGAGAAGCGCTACGGCTTTCTGGACCTGCCTATCGAGGACGCAGAGAAATTGAGGAAGAAACTCAACGGCTCGGTCCTGAAAGGCGTCAAGATTCGCATCGATCGCGCGCGCCCGTCACGCATTCTCACCCCGCTCGGCCAGGCCGCTATGGCCGAGGAAAAGACGTCAAAGAAAACCACCGAAGGTGCACCGCCGCCAAAGGATAAGAGCAAGAAGAGAAAGCGCGGCGCCGAGGAGCTTAGCGGTGTGATTCTGGAGGACGGCAGAAAGATCAAGCGTGGTTGGACCAGCGCCGACGAACCCAAGGAGAAATGGTCAAAGCAAGACAAGGAGAGGAAGAAGGGGAAGAACAGGAAGAAGCAGGTCAAGTCCAAGTACACTGACCATGCCGAGTGTCTAGTCAAGACTGTCTTGCCCGCAAACGCCGCACCCTCGCCTGACCCCATGACGGAAAGGAAAAAGAAAAAGCGCGAGTCACGGGAGGTGGTAGTGCACGAGTTTGAGCGGACGACCAAGTTTCCGACTTTCCTCAAGGCGGCGGCACCGCCCGCTCCTTCGGCTGCCCCGCTAGAGTTCGTCGATGGGAAAGGGTGGGTGAACCAAGATGGGGTGGTGGTTGAAAGCGTCAAGTCCAGGCCTCCCCTAAGCTGCAAAGCCTTGCTATCGAGCGGATCGAAGAAGGATCGGGTTCAGGAAACGGTCCTGGAAGAGGGGACTGTGACAAGCTCCAGCGACAGCGAAGATGAAGCTGCGGGAGAAAGCGAATCTGAAGCTCCGGCCACTGCCGGGAAGAGCAGCCCGCTTCCCGAATTCGCTGCGTCGGGTTCTTCCTCTCCTACACCGCCGGCCGAATCGGATCCACCGCGGCCCAGATCATCTGCCTTAACGCGAAATCTCTCCATCAAAATTCCTCCCACAACCCCTAACGAGGCCAAAGTGCACCCCTTGGAAGCGCTGTATAAGCGCCCAAAGCAGCCCGACGATGGAATCCCCACAGCAGAAGCCGGCGGAGGACAAGGATTCAACTTCTTTGCCGATGGCAACGAAGATAGTGCAGGCGAAGGAGACGTCGACGCAGATGTGAATGATGGGCCGTCGGGGATGCAGGTACCACTAACTCCATTCACCCGCCACGATCTGGAGTTACGCGGCATCAGGAGTGCAGCGCCTACTCCCGACACGGCACACCCCAACAGAAAATTTACACCTTGGGAACCGGACAACGAGGATGACGTGGAGAGACAGGACACTGAGCCTGCCTATCAAGATTTTGAGGAGGAGGATGAGCAGGGTCCCCTGCGCACCACGACGACCCAGGCGGGGGAGGGTCGTGAAAGGACGACTAGTGACTTCCATCAGTGGTTCTTCGAGAATCGGGGCGACGTGAATAGGTCGTGGAGGAAACGGAGGAAGATTGCGGGCAAGGAGAAGAGATACAGGGAGAACAAGGCTCGGATGGCCCGAGCAATCTAGCAATGCCGGTCCTCGATGCGAGATGCCCTCTTCATGGTATAAGTCTCGTTTTCGACAATTGGTACAAGGGACTCGAGAGCATGGTCTTGCCAATCTTCACGTCGCCGGGACATTTCCCCCGGCCTTGGTTACCCCTGGGCATTGTTTTCCGTGCATGATGTTTGTTTTCTTACTTACAACTTCCGCGATGTGATTGACTTTATGTGCTGAGAAGCCTTCGTTTTGATACAAAACATGCAAAATGCTGACGCCCTAAATAGTGGTGGAAACAGGCAAAGGCCCCTTCTACCGCATCTCTCCATAGCCGTGCTCCGTTCAATATAACCCGCCCACTCCAAAACATGATGGGCAGCACGAGTGATGGGCTATTCAGACGCGGAGAACCCAATCCTACTCAGATATTCTCGCCTTTACCCTTCAGAACATCAGCCGAACGAACACCAGGCCCGAGGGGACTGAGAGTGCTGTTACGCGAACGGCCCGCTGAGGGCGTGGTGTGGGTGTCAAGGTTCTGGGAGAGGTGAGACGAACCCCGGGGCATGTGCTCGGACAGAGGGCTGTATCCCTCCGTGACAGCCTCGCACAGCTCCGTCAGGATGCTGACCTTCGTGTCAGACTTGGGGATCGCGCCGCTGCCATCGCTGTCGCTGCCCTGTTGCCAGGATTCCGATGGCCCTGATGCCGCGTCCTCTGGCTGAAGTAGCTGGCGATGGGACATGGAACCACTAGCGCTCACCAGCTTCTTCGGCTTCGAGGTGTTGTCGTCGCCAGGAGCGGCGAGGGTGGTGCTGGCCCTCGGGGTCTGGCTGATTCTGTTCACCGTGTTGCCGCGAGCTGCATTCTTGCCGGCTCCGGCTTCGTCAGCGGTATTCGACTCGTCATTGTAGTACTGCTGGCCTGGGTTCGGCCGTCCCTCCTCTAGCACGCCGATGCGACTCTCGAGGAACTCAACGTATCGGCGAAGCTGCTCGTGATCTTGGATGAATTTCTGCCACGCCTCGGTGGCACCATTCTCTTCTTGCTTGCTGTGCTCGCCTCCCTGGCCCTGGCCCTGGCCCTGCGGCGGAGGCGGGAGCGGCCGGGACCGGACATGCATCTCGATCCAGCTCTCGCCAGACACCACATCGTTGTTCATCTTGCGGTACTGCAGGAAGGCGAACGCCAGAAGCACGCCAAACGCCACGACGAAGGCGGCGCTCAAGGCGGCCCACGCCACAAGACCCAAGCCGGCGTAGCCGTGCTCGATTTGGATCACGACCACGGCGGTGACACTGGCGACGGCGTTGAGGAGGGAGGACTCGAGGAGGATGGCCGACGTGAGCATCATTCTGCGCGACCGGCCGAGCGAAGTCCACAGCTTCTTTGTGTCGCCCGGCACGCCGCGGCCGGCGTTTACGGCCATGCTCGGGTTCGGGGGCATGCGGGTGTGGCGCAGTCGAGGGCCGCGGCGGAGAGACTCGAGATCCTGTATGTCGCTTTGGAGCGTCGTCGGCCCGACCCTGGGCGCCGTCTCGGTCAGGTCGGCTGAACTCAGGATGGAGATTCCCTCGGGCACGGGCGAGTCAGTGACGGTGCCGCCATCGGAACTGCCATGCTCGGCTTGCATGCTGCTGCTGGTAGCAATGTTGACGGGGATGGCAGTGTACAAAGGGCGCCTGGCCTCGCCGTGATTGGAAGCGCTGGTCCTATAGAGCGGATGGAGCCGAGAGACCACACGACCCTCCTCGTCCCTTCTCAAAGGCTTGGACTGAGCCCCCCAGTTGAGAACGGTTCTCTTTGCAGCGATGTCTCTGTCGGAGCAGCTTTCGAGCTGGGTCGCCGGCTCCGAGTTTTGCGAAGCGTAAATGACTGCCGGCTGAACTGTGATAGCCAGGTGATGCGATGCAGAGCTCGGCTTCTTTGTGTCTCGATGTTGCTTGCCATCGTCCTCATCATGGATCTCTGAAGTTTCGGATACCTTCAGCAAGACCGAAAAAGGAGTCGGAGTCATGGGTCGCTCGAGGATGTCCGCAGCTGGTTCAAGGAGAGCTCCTCTGGCGCTGCTGGGATGCAAATGCTCGTCTATGGAACCGGTTAGCCGCACCATTTGCTCGAGTTTATCCTGTGGAAATGCGTTACCGGTCACGGAGCTGTCGCCGTCTCTGGGGGCGTATACCTGGGTTTCCACCGAGACGACAGAGTGGACGTCTGCCCGGACAGGGCCTCCAGAGGAGCGATCCCGCATCCTCTGATACAGGCTTTGCGTCATTGTCACGGCACTTGCGGCCGAAGCCGTGGCCCGGTGGCCGGGGGATTGCATGCTCCCTGTACGGGGTATGTCTTCGAGGTTGGCAATACGATCGCCATGCTTGATGCCTTGAGCTGAAAGATCGCTGGGCACAGCGTTAGTCAACTATCTCAAATCGACCGACCTTAATGGAGCATGAAATCGGTCCTACACAGAGGATGACTTGGGCGATTTCTGGGAGGGCCAGCTGGACTGAGAATGGCTTCCAGTCGCCGTGGAGATATTGTTGACTCGATTCATGGCGCTATAGCGGACTGCGCGGATGGAAGGGGTGCGTGGTGATGCAGCCATGAAAGTCGGCCGAGGGATCCGTGTCGGTATTGCTGAAGTCGGATCGAGGGTCCTCATTTGCAGGGCAATAAAGTTCGAGATTACGACTACAGATATATCTTATTCTCTGGAATAACGAGGGTGTCGATGGTCAAAGGACGCTGCCTGTGGCCCTGGAGGCCAGCAAGCCGAAGGGGTCGAGCAGACGCAGAGGTGGTAAACTGGCTCAACCACTTCAATGAATTGCACTGTTTTACCTATGCGGCTCTCTCACCAGTGTTCACGACCTGGATACAGTGTATTTCTCAGGGTTCCGGCGTGCTCTCGAATTATAAACGACATTGTGACCCGCTTCCACACGGCAACATGACAGGAACCACGCACTTCAAGCATGAGGGATATCCCATTTCGCCCCATATGACGCTCTATGTCCGACCAAGGAAGACATTCTACAAGCTCTTTTTACTTATGCTTGTTGGATATAAGAGACTAGTTTGTACGAAGGACATGCTCATTGGGCTCAAGGCGCATCATAAAGTCTTATGGACCCCAAGCCCAATACTCATCGTCTACCGACCGCCGATACACAGTGCTCGTTTGCTCGGACGACAACGCCCAAAAGCGTGGCAGTGCGTGATGTGACTTGAAGAGAACCATACAATCCAGCCCTGATTTGTTCATTAGCGTGGCACATAGTAGGGCACTTTAGATGAATGAGATGAAAGAAATCAAGGAATATCAGAAACCAAGAAAGAGAGAAAAAATAATATAATATATAAATAAAAAGTGATACGAGAGGAAAGAAAGGACAAAGGTATGAGCAAAGAAGAGGAAAGAAGGAAAGAAGAGAAGTAAAGAAGGTTAAAGTGAAAGAACCTGCGGTGTAGTAACCAAGTTCCACGCTAACAAACAAACCAGGGTTGAATTGTAGGTAGGCAAGGGTTCTTTGGAACCCGCCACCTCGGTCACGATAGGGTATTGGGAAACTGAGAGTCACTGACATGGCAACAAGGATTATGTGGTCTGTAGGTTTGTAGTTTAGCTTTTCTTTATCTCTAGCTGAAATCGTAAGGCCCAGTCTGAAAACTCGTCCTTTTGTCCCTCCCACGGTCTGACAAGAAGCTCAGAGGCAGCAAAGGCATCAAAGAAGCACTCGTCCATCAGGCGGTCAATCTCAGAGGCGTCCAATTCGTAAAACGCCATGGCGAGATTCCCGAATTTCTCCGGTATCCCTTTGAGGACAGACACGACCTCATCCAGCCGGACAGGAATATCCGAAGGCGACTCCGGGGGAAGTCTCGGTAGGGGCTTGATTCTGCGCTTCACCGCAGCTTGGTACAGCAAGGTGGTCAAGCGGAGCCTTTTGAGGCATGAGCCCAAGCGCTCGCGAATATTGTCGGGGTCGTCGCGCGGAATGTGCCGCTGCGAGTCCATCAGGCCGTCTAGGATGGCTTGGGCGTCGTCCGTATCATCACCATGAGCATCGTCAACGTTGTCGTCATCCCCTGCACCGTCGTCGTCGTCCGCCTCCTCGCCCCAATTCTTCAGCTCTTCCATGACATCCTTCAGAGTGTCCCTGAGCTGTTCAACCTTGTACCCCAGGTTACCGGCGAACCCTCGCTTCGCGAACGCCATGAGGTCGTCGCACGCAGACCACAGAACACCCGTGGTAGCAATGCTCCCCCTGCCCCCTGCTGCCCCAGACGTGGCGTCCCTTTTGGCGTCGGACAGGACTCTGCCATCCCTGGGAATCCGCGAGAGAAGCTCCTTCAGCTCTTTGAGCACCCGGCCAGCCCGCCAAGCTACATCCTGCTGAATGATCCGCGTGTACCGTCGTGGCGTGCACAGCTCGACTGCGGCGGCCAGGCTGGGTACGGGGCTGGCGACAAGCTCGCGGAGGACCTTTGCGATGGCAGTCGGGGTGAAGGGCTCATTGATTATGAGGAGCGAGATCTTGGTGGCATGCGCCTTGATGAGAGAGGCTGAATCGTGCGCCAGAGAGAGCGCATCGATGTTAGAGTTGTCGACTGCAGCGACTGGCTCGGCCATTAGCTGTGCTGTGCTGGCGGTGCCGGGCTTGTGCGCCGCAATGCTTGACACCACGGCGTCGAGTTGGCCAACAATATTAAGCGCATTGTCGGTGACGTTGTTGAGCTCCCTAAGCTTGTCTCCGGAGGACGCCATTGTGCCTCTGAGGAGCGCGCAATTCTTGTTGATGTGAGGCAAGCTCCTCTGATAGCGAGCCAGTACTTGCTCCTGTCCTGAGCTTGATGAGGTCGTTGGCGCCGATGGCGGGGCAGCAACTCGGGCAATGATCGTTTTCTCCCCGAGCCCCATGTTCCTTAAGACCGTTGCACTCGTCTCCCGGCAGGCACTACTTCCCCTTGGCAGCAGCTGTCAAGGACAGGCAGCCAGCTGCCAGATCAATGTCTCAAGTTGGCAAGCTGTCCCCGTCCCAAGTTTCCGGTTCCATGTCGACGGATGCTGCAACCACAGGAGAGACAAACACATCCATCTCTCATGCTAATTTTCCTGGAACAGTGTACAGGCGAAGAGACGGAGTCATAATGCGAAGGACGGGCGCATTGGCGCTTCTGAGCGCCCTCGCTCACAGCACGCTTGCTGCGGCCGAGAGTTTGCCGCGGGGCGTAGGGCCCGAGTGTAAGTCGACAACTGGACAGATGACCATGTTCACTTGGAACTTGAGCTAATAGCAGCCTCTATACAGTCGCCAAGTTCTACACCAGCAAATCTACTTTCACATGCATCGGCAATCCCTCCATTATCCTCGAGCCGTCCCAAGTCAATGACGACTCCTGCGACTGCCCCGACGGGTCTGACGAACCAGGAACTGCCGCCTGCGCGCATATCGACCCATTATCTCCCGAACAGCCCCTCCCGGGCTCGCTAACAGGCACCACCAACGCCACCAACGCGCTACCCGGCTTCTGGTGCTCCAATGCCGGCCACGTCGGGTCCTACATCCCCTTCCTGTACGTCAACGACGGCGTGTGTGACTACGAGCTGTGCTGTGACGGCAGTGACGAATCTGCCCACGTGGGCGGAGTCCAATGCGAGAACCGCTGCGACGCCATCGGCAAAGACCACCGCCGCCTTGAAGAAGAGCGCCGGCAGAACAAAGAGAGATCGGCCAAGCGGAGGCGGACGCTTGTGAAGGAGGCCCGCGAACAACGCCGCAGAGTGGAGGCCAAACTTGGCGCCCTGAAGGCGGAACTCGAGGGGCTCGAGCACAAGAAGGCGGATCTGCAGAAGAGGTATGAGGACATCGAGCGTTCCGAAAGGAACAGCATGGTCAAAGTGAAGGGACAGGGAGGAAAGCTCGAGATACTGGTCAATCTGGCCAAGAACCGCATCTCCGAGCTCCGCAACGCTCTTGACAAGGTGCTGGATCAGCGTGACGACTTGCAGGACAGGGTCGAACAGCTGGAGGAGATCCTCACCAAGCTCAAGGACGAGTACAACCCCAACTTCAACGACGAGGGCGTCAAGGCCGCCGTCAAGAGCTGGGAGGACTACGCCGCTGGCCAGGCCGGCGAGACCAAGTCTGATAATCTGCCAGACGAGGACATCATGGAGATGCTGAAGGAAGATGGCGAGACATTTGGCATCAACTGGGCCGAATTTGAAAGCTCCGATGCCAGTGACGTGGACGTCGGTCGGTCTTTTCTGAACCCTCCAATTGAAACACATATTCAGCCGAGCTAACCGAACTCAGTCTACAACTGGGAGGCGTACCTGCCACGCCCCGTCAACGACTTCATCCGCGAAAAGATCAACGCCCTGCGCATCTGGGCCATGGACAACGGCATACTGGCCGATAACCGCAGCGGCGCCAACAGCGAGTCTCGCCAGCTCACAGCAGCCAGGGAAGCCCTGGAGGCCGCCAAGGGCGACATATTGTCCAAGACCAGGAGCCTGGAGGAGCAGCAGCGCGACCTGGAGAAAGACTACGGCCCGGGCGACATCTTCCGCGCGCTCAAGGGCAAGTGCATCAGCAGCGACGTCGGCGAATACGAATACGAGCTGTGCTGGATCGACAGGACGACGCAGAAGAGCAAAAAGGGACACGGGAACACCAACATGGGTAACTTTGTGCGCATCGACAAGGACATGGCCGACGAGGAGGAACGGGCCGATGGGAAGAGCCTGGGTAAGGGTGAGAGGATGGTGCTACGCTACGAGAACGGTCAAGGCTGCTGGAATGGGCCTAACAGGAGGACCGATGTCTGGCTTGCGTGCGCTGAGACGGATGAGCTCTGGCGTGTGTCCGAGTCCGAGAAGTGTGTCTACAGGATGGAGGTGGGCACTCCGGCAGCCTGCGAAGACCTGCAGGAGCCAGGGCCCAGTGTCAAGGATGAACTCTAGTGGCTCTTGATCACGGATATGACGTTGATGTTGACTTGGCACCTGGTTATGGTTTGTTTCTTCCCCTGAATAGCGATGTTTTGAGTTTGAGCCATGTACAAGAACTTTATCCATCATTAGAATGGAGGCACCCGACGGATAAAGGACACCGGCTTTCAAACATAACTGCCCTCGGCCCATCATCTCGCGGACGCGGCCAGCTTGCGCCGTTTATTGCGCTCCTCCTGCTCTGCAAGAACCTTCGCTGTGATACCTGCTGTCATGGCGTTGTTGATGCCGCTCACTCGACTGCTGATGTCAGACTCGGAATGCACCTTGGCTGACGTCCCATCTTTTGAAAGAGAGACAGATGAAGTAACGTAAGGCCCTGGCGGGTCCTTTGGCTTGTCGGAGTTGGCTGCCCGATCACCATTCGCCTCATCCGCCTTGCGCTTCTTCCTGCCGTTACCCTTGCCTTTCTTGAGGCTGTGAGTAAGCCCCTTCGCCTTGAGGTCGTTGATCCTTGCCATCAGGCGATCGAGATCCGCCTTCTCGGTCGGGAGGATGGGGATGACGTCGCCGGCCTGGAACGGCTCGCTGCAACCAGGGCAGACCTCGTCTTTCTTGTAGATCTCCTTGATGGCCGCCTCGGCAAAAACATGGCCGCACGGGACGAGATAGACTGCTTTTGTCGCGGGACCCATCTCCTTCAATGTGACCGGGCAGGCCCAGATCCATTTCTCTTTCTCTTTCCCCGGGGACGCATAACGCCTGAACTTGAGCTTGACCACGTCACGCAGCGATTTGATGCCCGTCGACGCGAAAGTCAGTTCCGGCGGCGACTCACCATTCACTAGAGCTGGCGTAGCCTCGTCGTCGTTGGCGCCATCAGCTGCGCTGGGCATCAGGCCCTTCAGGACCGACTCGTAACTGTAGAGCCGGCCACGCCAGTCGGAAACGACGTTCTCAAGGTCCAGCTGCTCTGAGGTCAAGGGATCGTGGGTCCAGGCATGGCCAAGGTTCTCGAAGGCGGTTGCTTTCAGTTCGCTTACTGTCGGCACCCGCGCAGCCGACTTGACTAGTTCGCGGCGCGTTGGGATGGAGCCGCCGTCGTTACCCATGCTAGTCGCTTGTTGCGATGGTACGCGGAGAAGCGACTTGATTGCCGAGTATTCCGCGAGGTCTTCTCACTTGTGAAGTCGCCGGATTGATGAAGTTAGAAGCCAGCGCTCTGGCAGAAGCAGTTGAACTCGGAATCTGAGGTTCAGGCTGGATAGGATAAGGAGCTCGAGTGGCTCGGACACTCCAGCAGAGGTTTAGCTCTGTTAAATGCATATCAGACAGCCAGTTACGCCAGTCAGCCGATTGCAAAGGAGCAGTTTGTAAGAAACAGGCGTCACGATACCTGTAAGGTACCTTCTGACCGTTCATTCTTGGCGCATTAAAGCGTAGGGCCCCACTTTGATATATGAAGCAACGCCGTCACGTTCCAAGCATACCGTTACGTCTTAGCTCCCACCGCACACCTGACGTACCGCCTGGTAGCGGTCCTGCTCTACCAGATCAGCTGCAACTTGCAACAACCTCTCGAAGGTAGAGACACGCAATTCGCGTTCTCCTCTGGTGATCCACTTCAGAAATCATCAAACCGCTTTTGACGCACCACCCCCCCAGCTTTCTCTCCCGCAGTTCGGCCAATTGTCGCACTCTCGCCGTACGTCCAAGAGAAAGGCCGATCAACCACGTCCGGCACGCGATTGTCGACTTCGTCTGCGAATAAAGTTGCTACGCTAGCAAGGTTGGAGCTCACTACATCAAACTCGAGAAGACCGCCGGAGCGTCCAACAAGAGCTCAGCCCAGCCAGTTGGCCCGGAGCGCAACCACCGACTATGGGTCGTCGACAACCGATGTAGCGCTTGAACGCTTGACGACACTGCCCACTGCCTCGACGAGGGCGACAGAATACAAAGCCTCGACAACATGTCAATCATCAAAGATCAAGCGTCCAGCGCGCTGGACCAGTACATCAAAGAAGTCAGGAATCGGAACTATGCCGAAGACCAACGCAAGCGCGTTGCGCGTCAGGTCCGGGACTTGGTCAACATCGCCAAACAAGGTGAGTTGCCCGACCGCTTGCTGCCAGCTTGTTCCCCCCACGTTACTCGGAAGCTCTAACCTGCGGGCAGAGATGAATGCTGAGCAGTTCCAACGGTTCTTTGACACGGTCAATCAACGGACCATGGCTTTGATCCAAAGCACCGACACATACGACAAGATGGGCGGAGTGTACATCCTTGATGCGCTCGTCGATTTTGACGGCATCGAGCCGGCGCTCAAATACAGTCGCTTTCAACAATATATCGGGACTATTCTGCGCGGAAAGGACACGAGCCCAATGCAAGCTGCAGCCGTGGTTCTTGGCAGGCTGTGCAAGCCAGGCGGATCCTTGATATCCGAGCTTGTTGACGCCGAGATGCACACCGCCCTCGAGTGGCTGCAAACAGACCGTGTCGAGGAGAGGCGGTTCAGTGCCGTCCTGGTCCTGCGCGAGTTGGCTAGGAACGCTCCGACGCTCATGTACCCGTACGTGGGCTTCGTCTTCGACCAGGTCTGGATCGGGCTTCGGGATCCTAGGTACCTCATCCGGGCGACATCCAGCGAGACGGTCAGTGCCTGCTTCAAGATCATCCGGGAGCGCGACCAGGAGATGAAGCAAGAATGGATGGACAAGATGTTTGCCGAAGCGGTCAAGGGCCTCAAGACAAACACTGTCGAATACATACACGCCTCACTCCTAGTCCTCAAGGAGCTTCTCGAGCAGGGAGGCATGTATATGCAAAGCCACTATCAAGAGGCCTGCGAGATTGTCTTCCGCTACAAGGATGCTCGTGACTCTGATATTCGGAAAACCGTCGTCTTCCTTATTCCCGACCTGGCCAACTATGCGCCAACCGAGTTCTCGGCGACCTACCTGCACAAGTTCATGGTCTACCTTTCTGGCATGCTCAAGAAGGAGAAGGAACGGAACGATGCGTTCCTTGCCATCGGCAACATCGCCAACGCCGTCAAGAGCTCCATCGCCCCCTACCTCGACGGCGTTCTCATCTATGTCCGCGAGGGGCTCAGTGTGCAGTCCCGCAAGCGCGGCTCCGTCGATCCAGTGTTTGACTGCATCAGCCGGCTTGCCGTGGCGGTGGGCCAGACGCTGAGCAAGTACATGGAAGCGTTGCTGGATCCCATCTTTGCCTGCGAGCTTACACCCAAGTTAACTCAGGCTTTGGTGGACATGGCCTTCTACATACCGCCCGTCAAGGGAACCATCCAAGAGCGGCTCCTCAACATGCTCAGCAGGGTGCTATGCGGCGAGCCCTTCCGGCCCTTGGGCGCGCCTCATCCACACCCACCTTCGTCTCTACCGCCCATACCTAAAGATCCCAAGGACCCGTCGGTGCACGAGCGAGGCAAGGCTGAGATAAAACTTGCCTTAAACACGCTTGGCAGCTTTGACTTCTCAGGCCACGTCCTGAACGAGTTTGTCCGCGACGTTGCCATCAAATACGTCGAGGACGACGACTCCGAAATTCGAGAGGCCGCCGCCCTTACCTGCTGCCAGCTCTACGTTCGTGATCCGATCGTGAACCAGACAAGTTACCACGCTCTGCAGGTCGTTTCCGATGTCGTTGAAAAGCTCTTGACTGTGGGCGTCTCAGATCCCGAGCCCAAGATCCGTCGGACTGTACTCGCTGCCCTCGACGAGCGATTCGACCAGCATCTCGCCAAGGCTGAGAACATTAGGACCTTGTTCTTCGCCCTCCACGATGAGCAGTTCGCCGTGAGGGAAGTGGCCGTGTCGATTATCGGTCGGCTTGCCCGCCATAACCCGGCATATGTCATTCCACATCTTCGCAAGACCATCATCCAGATGTTGACCGAGCTGGAGTACACAGACGTGGCGAGGAGCAAGGAGGAGAGCGCAAAGCTGCTTAGCCTGCTAACGCAGCATGCCCAGGACCTAGTCAAGCCATACGTCAGCTCCATCACCGAAGTCATCCTGCCAAAGGCTTCCGATCCCACCCCTTCTGTTGCTGCTACCATTCTGCAGGCCATCGGAGAACTCTGCACGGTTGGCGGCGCAGAGATGCTTGCATACAAGGACACCCTCATGCCCATCATCATTGACGCCTTGCAGGACCAGAGCGCCCCTATCAAACGGGAAGCAGCCCTTCATACGCTCGGCCAGCTGGCCAGCAATGTCGGCTATGTCATCAAGCCGTACCTTGAATATCCGCAGTTGCTCGAGATCCTTCAGTCCATCATCCGGGGCGAACCCCAGCATGGCCCGCTACGGCAAGAAACCATCAAGGTCATGGGCATTTTGGGAGCGCTGGATCCTTACAAGCACCAGGTACAACTTCACAGCCCTTCTATTCCCCTTCATCACGCTCATTTCTCGTCGTTTTCGTATGCCAGTCGCACCATGGCGGATTCGGACGACGAGGAACTCGAGGCCGAGGATGGCTACGTAGTGCTCGCATCCTCTCTCACGGAGCAAGCTCGCCAGCAACCCAATGCATTGTTTCAGAGCAGAACTAAAACCAAGAAACAGCAGGTCGAAGAGCGAACGCCGCAAACTCAAAGCCGCCCCGAGGCGGCCCAGCTGACCGATGTATCCCTCATGATGGGTGGGCTTACCCCCTCGCAGGAAGATTATTACCCCACAGTCGTCATCAACGCCTTGCTTCAAATCTTGAAGGACCAATCCTTGCTACAGTGGCACGGTAATGTGGTAGACTCCATCATGAGCATCTTCATCACACTGGGCCTCAAGTGCGTCCAATTTCTCGATCGAGTCGTCCCGGCGTTCATTGCCGTCATCCGGGCTTCGAGCCCAACTCGGTTAGAATATTACTTCAACCATCTCAGCAGGCTCGTCGGTATAGTCCGCCAGCACATCCGCGTCTACTTGCCAGAAATCATCGAGTTGGTGCAAGAGTTCTGGAACACGACGTCCTCTCTCCAGACGACCATCATGGCGCTCATTGAATCAATCGCCCGCTCGCTGGAAGGCGAATTCAAGATCTATCTTGCAAGCCTGCTTCCGCTGATGTTGGGGGTGTTGGAAAGGGACACCAGCACCAAGCGCCAGCCAACCGAGAAGATGTTTCATGCATTCCTGGTCTTCGGCTCCAGCGCAGAGGAATACATGCATCTCATCATCCCCATTCTGGTCCGCCTGTTCGACAACCCAGCGCAGCCCATGTTCTTGCGGAAGTCGTCCATCGAAACGATTGGAAAGCTTTCCAGCATGGTGAATCTCAACGACTATGCTTCCAAGATCATCCATCCCTTGACTAGGGTCCTAGCCAGCCAGGAACCCAGTCTTAGGGTGGCGGCGCTCGACACCCTCTGTGCGCTTATGCTGCAACTTGGGCGCGACTACCTGCACTTCGAGCACACTGTCGAAAAGGCCATTACTATGTATGGTATCCAGCACTCGAACTACGACAAGGCGGTAGAGAAGCTCAAGAAGGGCGAGGCCCTTCCTCCGAATCTTGCACCTCGATTCGAGGATACTTCTGTGGAGCCTTACACTTCCGAGAACAATCCGCCAAGGAAGCTCGACCTGAATCCCGTGCATTTGAAGCAGGCATGGGACACCAAGGGCAAAGCTACAAAGGATGACTGGCACGAATGGTTTCGCAAATTTAGCACAACGTTGCTCTCGGAGTCGCCGAACCATTCACTTCGAGCATGCGCCAGCCTGGCGAGTAACTATCAGCCTCTAGCGAGAGAGCTCTTCAACTCGGCTTTCGTTTCCTGCTGGAGCGAGCTATACGATTCTTACCAAGTAATGGGATTCCCCTCCCGTCGCTCCCCAAAAATGTTGTCGGTGTGTGACTAACCGGTTCGTAGGAGGAACTGATCACAAACATCGAGAACACGATCAAGTCGGAGAATGTTCCTCCCGACCTCTTGGGCCAGCTTCTCAACCTTGCCGAGTTTATGGAGCACGATGACAAGGCGCTTCCCATCGACATCCGCATACTTGGACGTGAAGCTGCGCGATGTCACGCCTACGCCAAGGCGCTCCACTACAAAGAGCTTGAGTTCCTGCAAGACCACAATAGCCACGCAGTGGAGGCCTTAATTGTCATCAACAACCAGCTGCAGCAGTCGGATGCCGCCATCGGAATCCTGCGTAAAGTCAAGGCTTACAAGGACGGGATCCAACTGCGGGAGAGCTGGTTTGAGAAACTGGAACGGTGGGATGAGGCACTCAACTTCTATTGCCAGAGGGAACGAGAGCTCCCTGAGGACCAACCCACGCCCGTCGACATTGTCATGGGCAAAATGCGCTGTTATCATGCCCTGGGCGAGTGGGACTCACTCGCTTCCCTGGCCGGCAAGACGTGGGCCAACTCTGGTCCGGAAATCCAGCGAAGGATCGCGCCTTTGGCAACCACGGCAGCCTGGGGCCTCGGAAAGTGGGATTCGATGGACATTTACCTGCAATCGATGAAACGCTTCTCGCCCGATCGTGCTTTCTTTGGCGCAATCCTTGCACTGCATCGGAATCAATTCCGAGAAGCGTTGGCCTGCATCGAACAAGCCCGTGAGGGCCTCGACACGGAGCTAAGCGCCTTGGTTAGCGAGTCGTACAACCGGGCCTACCAGGTTGTAGTGAGGGTCCAGATGCTTGCCGAGTTGGAGGAGCTCATCGTCTACAAGCAATCTGGACCCGAAAAGCGTGCCACCTTGCGAGCGACCTGGGAGACTCGTCTCAAAGGCTGCCAGCGCAATGTCGAGGTTTGGCAGCGGACGCTCCGGCTGAGATCTCTGGTGCTGACGCCACAAGAAAACATGCACATGTGGACAAAGTTCGCCAATCTCTGCCGCAAATCCGGGCGGATGGGTCTCGCCGAGAAGTCACTCAAGCAGCTCATCGACGCCGACGCCCCGCTGGAATCGGTTATTCCCTACTGGTTCGAGCAGCCCAGCAGTCCCGCCCTCGAACGCATTGCGTCTCCAATCGTGTACGCAGTGCTCAAATTCCAGTGGGAAGTTGGCCAGGAACCAGGTGCTCGAAGCTCGGACCGCAGCATCGCCGAGCGGGCACTCTACTGTCTTCGCAGGTTCAGCGAGGAAACGGCCCACCGCGTGGAGAGCGCAAGGTTGCAGTTGAACGCTTCTGCGCAAGCCGCAAGCGCCATGGGTGACGGCATGAACCACACGAGGTACGGCGACTTCGACGAGGCGGCCGTCCTTGGTCCAGATGCGCAACGGCAATGGCTTGAACAAACGGTGCTCCTCGCAAAGTGTTACCTTCGGCAGGGCGATTGGATGATCACACTGAATAAGAATGACTGGCAGCACACACGGCGCCAAGACATCCTCGACTGCTACTCAAAGGCTACTCATTATCACCCTCGGTGGTACAAGGCCTGGCATGCCTGGGCACTGGCCAACTTCGAGGTTGTCCAGGCGCTGGCGTCTAAGAAAGAGCTGGAAGCGCGGTCGGAGCACAGCATCATCCTTCACCACGTTGTCCCCGCCGTGCACGGCTTCTTCGAGTCCATCGCCCTCTCATCTGGCAGCTCTTTGCAGGACACCCTTCGCCTGCTAACCTTGTGGCTCACCTATGGTGGCTACCAAGAGGTCATCACGGCCGTCACGGACGGTTTCGCACATGTCAGCGTCGACACCTGGCTCGAAGTCATACCCCAACTCATTGCACGCATCAACCAGCCCAACAGACGGGTGCAGGCATCAATTCATGCTCTGCTATCCGACGTCGGGCGCGCACACCCGCAGGCGCTTGTGTACCCCCTTACTGTGGCGATGAAGTCACGACAGAGCACCCGGCGGTCCAAGACAGCCAGCTTGATCATGGAGAGCATGCGCCAGCACAGTCCCAAGCTAGTGGAACAGGCCGACATTGTGAGCCGCGAGCTTATTAGGGTTGCGGTTCTTTGGCACGAGCTCTGGCATGAGGGGCTTGAGGAGGCGTCCCGACTGTACTTCGGCGACCACAACATCCAGGGCATGTTCGACGTGCTGGAACCTCTTCACGATTTGCTCGAGAAAGGGCCAGTAACCCTCAGGGAGATATCGTTTACCCAGACCTTTGGCAGAGACTTGGGCGAGGCTCGTGAATGGTGCCGGCAATACCGCATCTCGCAGGATGTGAACGACATTAGCCAAGCATGGGATCTCTACTACCAGGTTTTCAGACGCATTAGTAGGCAGCTGCCTCAGATGACATCCCTAGAGCTTACATACTGCTCGCCAGATCTGCTACAGGCACGAGACCTCGAGCTTGCCGTCCCTGGAACGTACCGTAGCGGCCAGGAGATCGTCAGGATCATGGCCTTCGACGGCACCTTCAGCGTCATCAGCTCCAAGCAGCGTCCGAGAAAGCTTGACATTGTCGGGAGCGACGGCAAGACTTACACGTTCCTGCTCAAGGGCCACGAAGATATTCGGCAGGATGAGCGCGTCATGCAACTCTTTGGTCTGTGCAACACTCTCCTGGCCAACGATTCCGAATGCTACAAGCGACACCTCAACATCCAGCGCTACCCGGCGATCCCCTTGTCCCAGAACTCGGGGTTGCTTGGATGGGTGCCCAACAGTGACACAATCCACCAGCTCATACGGGAGTACCGAGAATCTCGGAAGATCCTCCTTAACATCGAGCACCGGATCATGCTACAAATGGCACCAGATTACGATAATCTGACCCTCATGCAGAAGGTCGAGGTGTTCGGATATGCGCTGGACAACACGACAGGTCAGGACTTGTATCGCGTTCTTTGGCTCAAGAGCAAGAGCTCAGAGGCCTGGTTGGACAGGAGGACCAACTACACGCGCTCCCTCGGCGTCATGTCCATGGTGGGATACATTCTTGGTCTGGGAGACAGACATCCTAGCAATCTGATGCTCGACCGGATCACTGGAAAGATCATCCACATCGACTTCGGCGACTGCTTTGAGGTGGCGATGAAGCGGGAGAAGTACCCGGAGCGGGTGCCCTTCAGGCTCACCCGCATGCTCACCTACGCCATGGAGGTCAGCAATATCGAGGGCAGTTTCCGCACGACTTGCGAGCATGTCATGAGAGTCCTGAGGGACAATAAGGAGAGCGTGATGGCGGTTTTGGAAGCTGTGAGTTCTCCCAACACTCCACCCGAGGAGAGTAAGCCAGAGCTAATCATTGCATTCTTCGTCGTTCAGTTCATCCACGATCCGCTACTCACATGGCGCCTCACCAATCCTGCCAGCCCGCCGGGGCCCCACTTCAACTCGGAACGGGAGCAAGCCATTGCAGGCCCACAAGCAGGACGCGCTCGCCGCCCATCGATACTCGACGCCCCCGTAGCGCCTACCGAGTTCCTGGCGGCGCAGGCTGCAGGGATGGATGGCGGCATAACGGGCGCGCCACCAGGCACCCGAGGGCGTGCCCGGACCAATTCCTCGGCGGCCCACCCGCCGGGCAGCATGGCCAACGGCAACGGCAACGGCAACGGGGCGAACAACGAGATGGCCGAGGTGCAAAACGCCCGAGCCGTCGAGGTATTGGACCGCGTCGCGCAGAAACTCACCGGCCGGGACTTCAAACCCAACGAGGAGCTCACCGTGAACGAGCAGGTCAACAAGCTGATCATTGAGGCCACGAAGCTGGAGAATCTGTGTCAGCATTACATTGGATGGTGCAGCTTCTGGTGAGACGGATCTCGTGGGCTTTTCTTGGTGTTGGCCTTGGCCAGGGAGGCGGAACTGGTCGCTTAGGTCTTCTACCTTTCTTGTTCCTGGGAATCTGAAAGGGCTTCACGTAGAGGCCCTTGCTTGTTGTGTGGGGTATGTGCCTATTTTTCTACTTCTCGGTTGGCGGCTACGGCGGGTTTCCATATGATTCATCCCAACACGCACCGTATCACTCTTCCTCTTCCCTTTCACGCGGCGTTGCTTGGTAGGGCGAGGATATGGTGGGAGGTTAGGTCGTCGTGATTTCTGTTTTTTGCGTCATGAGTGCCGTATGTGCTATCGCGGGGCCCCGCATAAAAGCAGCCCATGCATGGGCGATTATCTGCGGTAGTAATATCATCCCGTTGATTTGCCATGTTGTATGGCGTTTGTTTGAGCAGAGCTCTCCCTGGGCGGTGGCGTGTCTTTTTTAACCCGCGACAAACGATCCCTCTTGAGCAGCCTGGTAAAGTTCGGGTGCGATATACTTGACCCTGGTTTGTTTGTTAGCGCGGAACTTACACAATAAGTATAACACCTCATCTTTCTTTCTTTCACTTGAACCTTTGTATTCTTGCTTTCCCTCCTCTTCCTGTTCCTCATCCTCCTTATTTATTGTTACCTCTCCATTTCCTTTTCTCTTCCCCTTCGTCTTTGTATTCCATAGATTTCTCCCTCTCTTCCTTGTTTTCTTATGTAGTCTTTATACCCTGCCATGTGCCACGCTAACGAACAAACCAGGGCCGGACTGTACGCTGGGTAATAAAGTTGAGGGGCTATATATTCTGCGGTGTCGAGGCCTGGTTCTTGATATTGCTCTTCATCCTTCTCGATCCCGGCACTTGAGCAGCAACATCCAGGATTAGGTAGAGTCCGGTGCTTTCCCTAGCATCATAGCTTCCCCGAAGCCCGCCAACAGTTGAGTTTCCTACACACCGACCTGTTCAGTGACACGCATTTATCGCGAGACTCCCTGCACACTCTGGTCGGATTACCAGTCCCAGCAGATATTTCCTGCTGACAAGCGGAAAAATGGCTTCCATTATCAACATCCCACTCGTTATGGGCCTCCTCTCAGTAGCACCCCACGCCGTATGTGGCCATCCCCTGGCATCACTAGCCACCAGTTGCAACCGTTCAGCGCTGGTCGAGGCGGCCGATGCCTACATTGCTGCTCAAACGGTGGGTAACATTAGCTTGCTGGACCAAGTCGTTGCTCGTGACTGGCAGTACAAGGAAAACAACAAAAATCGCGACGCCAGGGGAGGCGTGTTGAGCAAGAGTCTTGGGACCGACCACCGGCGGACCAACTTCGACGTGGTCGCCTGCGCGACTTACAGCGAGGTCATCGTCTCCGACCCAGCGAACCCCTATGTCATTGGTACTCAAATCCGGCACGACCCGACCGATGGCCTGGTGACCCTCATCGACACCATCGCAACGACAACCAACTCTTGGTTATTTGACGCCAAAGAAACTTGAGTACGTCCTGCAGGAGAATTGGGATCCTATCCCCGAGGGCAAGCGAGATAGCCGAGACGTCATCAAGGCCGCGGGCGACGCCCACCTCGACATGTGGAGCAACGCGGCAGCAGCCGATGCCGTCCCCTGGGGAATGCCCTGCGCTCGACCGGAGGAATCGGCGTACACGGGCAAGGGCAGGCCTGACGACTCGTGCAAGACCGGCATCCCGTCCAACCACAGCCAGGCGCCCAACACGTGGCGCCGGTATGTCATTGATGAGTCCATGGGGTTGGTGAGCATCTTCTGCGTGTGGAACCACATGATAATGGCCGCCGATAGCCATGAGTCTCGGCTCGAGGGTGGACAGCTGAGATATATACATACCATGCCCGGGTGTGGTGGACAGAGATGCTCTCTGTAAGGGTGGATGGTCTCAAACTGGCAATAGTCATAGGCGCCAAATTGAATTCGGGTCGTCACATGCAGATGAAGGGGAAAGACAATATTTAAGTTGAGTGTATAACTGTTGGGTTAGATGTTGAGCTTAAAGGTAACAGACAAGTACATGAGTAAGCATATTGAAAGTATGGGTAGATCATACTTAACGTTATATATACATATGTAATTTGCCAAGACACTAAGAATCACTTCTTAGACCTTGGTTCACATACGTAAAAAACTGACCCTACTAGTTGATGAAGTCCATTGTTGAGCACTAGACCATTTCGGCAGGGGCTGCTTGGCTAGGCAGCTACGTGATCATTAGTGTCACATTCAAGCAACAACTGGAGAGCAGGCAAAACCTGCCTGGTCTAGGGGAAAAAACATTATAAGAGAACGTTGTTTAGAAAAGTCAACCGAAGCTGATTGTCTAGTTGCAAAAGTAAATGTATGTGACGTATATAAATAAGCGAGCGACGCACTTTCCAGCGAGACGCGGCCTCTCTAATCTCTTCTACTGAATTTACTACAACAGGCTATGCATAGCTCGTCAAGAGAACCCAGGCTACTTTTAGCCATTGAAGCCATCGAAAAGAGCGATGATTTCAGCATTTGAGCGGGAGCCAAGCTATATAATGTTCCGGAAGCAATGATTCGCCACCGACGCAAAAGCCGTACTGCGAGGCGCGATACTCTAGCCAACTCGCATATGCTCATCGATTCAGAATAGGAGGCAATAATTCAGTATATAATCGAATAAATTGCACATACATTCCCATCTAGACTAAGTGGTGTAGAAGATATAGCCAACTAACTGCTACGCGAATGCAACGCGCCTCCTATCAGCAACGCTGAACTCACAACTTTATAAACTGCCAATCAGCGCTAAAATACAACTATCAGAGGGTTAAATGCAAGAATTCAAAGGTCATTAGGAGTGGTTTGCACTCGTGTAGAATATTAAGGCTAAGTCTAGTATCATAGGTGCAATATTTATAACTTCGATGAGACTAGAGTTACAATGAGTATTACTCATACGAGTATAGTAGTTATGACCTCAAATAGTTATAGTAAAGGAAGACTAGCCTAGCCTAGTGATCGCGAGCGGTCTCTATAGTCTAGTAGTGAATACTCTCTGTCACGGCCCCTACTATAAATAAGCCCTACACTTGAGCTTTTGGCAGGCGAGCCACTGTGGATTATCATGGCAAAGCGACATGACTCGCAACAGAGGGAGGATATCTGGAGAGCGGGAGACTCAGATTGGAACTTGAAACTTCGCTCTCTCCAGGATCAGTCAGTTGGTCAGTGGTGCACGCACAATACTGTCGTCTTGTCTGCTTCTCGTTGCATATCACGAATATGGCCGTATGCAGCGACCCGGTAGGGCGCGAAGGAAGTGTCCCGAGCTAATTACTTAAGACATGGGTGTAGCAAGCCACGACTGAAGCGTCGAACGCTCCAGCGGACCAGGAGCGACAGGAGCAACTCTCGCTTCCAGCGCTCCGCAAAGAAAATGGAAGAGGGAGATGTTACAATCCTTAGGCCTACGGACATCACTGTAGCTTTCTTAGTAGGAAATTCTAGTACAAGATTGTCAGTATGTCACGGACAATGCCTGTGACACGGTACCTTTGGACATTGCTTGTTGTAACCTTTTGGCTTCACCGAACGTCATCCCGTTGTCAAGTCATAACCTTCAGGAGTCCCTTTCAGAAGTTTAGGCTCCGAGATCCGTCATATTGCGGATTCGGTGCATCTTCCTTGGTGAACCCGTGTGCGTCACCTTACACCTTCAGCTAGGCTATTTCGTCAAGACTAGAGGTCCTGTTGGGCGTAAATGTCGGACTGAGGAGGTGCGAGCAATGGGCGACAGTGCTGAGCAGCATTGTCGCGGTCTATGAGCAACTAGTCGAATGAGAATCACATTGAACTATGATACCTTCTTCTACCTGATCTCTGTCAGAGGCTGCGCAGTAAACCCCTGTGCCAACTGAATCAAAAGATCCGCCAATGCAACGACAATTGCATTGCTGCGCAACCACTTGCTTAAGTACTCTCTCTCAGGGCCTCAGAGGGTCTCTGCCATGGACCCTGACAATCTCTTTCCTCATTCTCATCTTCTGCTCTAAAGTCACAGCCTTTCTCCTAAAGCCTTCCTGCGTATTGGAATATGTCAGCTAACTACAGCCAGGGTTCAAAAGTCTCCATACACCCCACTTAATTAATCGCGACTCTCCACGCGTCGCGACAACCCTATGCTCTTCCAACTGCCAGAACTCAACGCCATGAAGCTCAATTTAGCTGATTTTGGAGCCAAATTGACGGAAAATCGCGGCCATAATGAGGAACTATCGCCAGTCGCTCGTGCATCCATTTGCTGCGCTGTGGCTCGCGGTAAAACCTACCGGGCTGTAGCGGACGCGTTTGGCGTCTCCGTCGGCGCTGTGCAAGACTGCATTCGACGCTGGGAAACTCAACAGAGCTTTGATTCGAAACCTCGAAAAGGCCGTCCTCAGAAGCTTCCGCGATCGGAGAAGCGGTATATCCTAACTCTTTTGAAAAGAAACCGAGATGTTGCTAAAAAGGCTCTGGTTACAGCCACGGGGTCTAAAATGTCCTACTCGACAATACGTCGATGCCTCCGTGCTCACAACCTCCGCAAATGGAAAGCAAAGAGAAGGATACCTCTCTCGAAGGAAGAGGCCCAAAAGAGATATAACTGGGCGTGTGCATGGCTCGAAGATACGGAGGAGTTGTTGAGAGTTCGAAGCCCCGGTTCGAGATATTAGTTTCCTTTACTGATCTGATTTAGACGTACTTCTCCGATGAGTGTTCATGTCAAAATAACACTTCAAATCCGACTTCTTGGGTGTTCCGTTTCCCCTTCTGAGAAGTTTGACAAGCGGTTCGTCAACTTGAAGAACCATGTTAAGGCGAATATTACGATCATGGTCCGGGGAATGGTCTGGAGAGGGGGCCGAAGTGAGCTCATCATCATGGAGAGAGATGAAGACGCGCCTCGTAGAGGATATACGTCCAAGTCTTACCAAAAGGCTCTTCGAGAAGGTCTCCTACCGTATTACGACGGTATAAGGCATTTCCAGCAAGACAATGCTAAGATTCATGTCTCCGAGGCCACTCGAAACTGGCATGCCGAGCATGCAATCGAGTGGATGGATTGGCCGCCGCACAGCCCTGATTTGAACCCCATTGAGCATGTTTGGGCGGCTTTAAAGAGAAACCTGAGGAGAATGTTCCCTGATCTCTGGGAACTCAAGAGGAATGAGCTCAATATTGAAGCTTTCAAGGAGAAGTTGCGTATGGCGTGGTGGGCTATCGATCAAGCGTTGATTGACAGGCTGATCGACTCGTTGCCTCGCCGGCTCGCGGCTGTTAAAAAAGCTCGGGGTTGGTATACAAAATATTGAAGCCTAGGAAATGGGGTTTTATATGAATGCAACAATATTTACCTATTTTTTAAAGTTCTTGAGATATAGTCTGTTAAAGGCCAAAGGTAAAAATGTAGGTGGCTGGTGTTTTGTGGGTTGTATGGAAATTTTTGACCCCTCACTGTACTTACACGCTGCTCTTAAACATCGCTGAGGTATATTTGACACATACTCTAGGTCTACTGCCCTGCTCTCACTCTACTTAGCAGTAGCGCTGGAGATGGAAGTTGCTAAGCCTAAGTCATCTCTAGTCCTAACAAACTTCTCTCTTCATTGAGTTAGCCGCGCAGTACAATCTTACTAACTAGTATATTGAGTTCAACCTCCTAGCTGACTCGCGCATTATAATTACCAACAATAGCTAGACTACTAAGGCACCCGACCCACCTTTCGGTCAGGCTACCATTCGGTCAGGCTACCATTCGGTCAGGCTACCATTCGGTCAGGCTACCATTCGGTCAGGCTACCATTCGGTCAGGCTACCATTCGGTCAGGCTACATTCGGTCAGGTTACCCCTCTCCCTCGCTGCCCAGCCCTCCTAAACGAACTCTATAGTGTTTTGCCTCCTACCACTGCAAATGTTACGTTTTAAATATCATTCAAATGCTTGAAATTCTCGTCATTCTATTAGAGTGCCTAAATATACCGAAGACCACTTGCATCGATTTACAAGTGGCTATCTCAGCTATCAAGGATAGGACCTCAATCCGTCGAGCCGCCTCTAACTGGGGTATCCTCTTTTCTACTTTGCAGAGCCCTATCAAGTCAGGGCATCGACCAAAGGGCGAGTACGAAGCTCTTGCCCTTTAGAAACTTACCCTCTAGCCAGGAAGCGCACCTGGCGTAATAGGTTATTGCGCAAGAGGCCTTGGGAGTCCCTGTCACTTACGCGCAAACCCGGATCTTTGCCGGTTGAGTCCTTCAAGCAAACGGATCACAAGAGAGAGTTGGAAAACACTGGCTTTCGAAGTTCATATGGAGACACCTATTAGTGAAGACTAAGAGGGTAAAGCGAATTGACGTCAAACGGCTCGACGGAGCAACAACTAAAAAAATCAGGGCCTTCTTCGAGCGACGAACTCTTCTGACAGTCAAGGATATCCTTCCTGACGATATTACAAATATAGATGAGAATAGGATTATAGAGGGCTAAGGTCGTATTACCTTATACATTTGAAAGGCTAAAACTAAGGTTGCTTTGGCAAAAATACTCCAAATCTCGCATCTAAACTACTATCCTCGAGTATATATCGGCAATAGGGAGGCTATGCAACCGACCCATTATTTCAAGGGCAAGGACGTTTAGCAATAATAGTTCCCTGACGATAAGGAGTCTCTAGTATTACTTAGTAACTGGAAGTTTATATCAAGCGAGAATAGGTGGACTAGCAACGACATTACGCTAGAATAGTTGCTTAAGACCCATCTCCCTATCGTTCTGGTTGGGTATAAGAGATGGTTGATTGTTAATAGCTATAGAAGTGATATAATGGACGATTTTATATAGCTTTGCTATATTAATAAAAATTTACCTCCTTTATCTGCTACTACAATCTCTATATTCTCTAGCTATTAGGTTTCCTTCTTTGATCCTCTAGAGACTACCTGCTATAAGGAGCTTGAGACCTTGTTTTAATATATATTCTAGTACCCCTTAATAAGCGAGACTTCTTGAAGGCTTATCGCAAAGCTAGGAGAGTTGCTAGGATAGGTCGGATTATACGAGCGGCCTAGGTTACGACTAGGCTATAGCCGATTAATATAGAGAAACCTCTAGGTAATAGTGTAGTCTTAAAGGCTGATTAGGAAGCCTATAATAGGTTAAAGAGCTAATAATAGCAAGATAGAACGATAAAGATATCTCCAGTTCTTACTTCGCAACTATCTTTTTATACTATCTAGACGCCTCAACGTAGTTAGGAGGTCCATAAGCTTCTTAGGTAGCTAGGTCGGTGAATTGCAACAGCTTTACCGGGCTGACCCAGTCGCTCAGGTCACTTCTCTGAAGATTGCTGAGAGCCTCAATGTCAGAGCAGTTAAGATCGCTGAATATAAGTAGAAAATCCAGGCTAGAGTCTAGAAGCCAAGGTTAAGAGACTGAGGCTAAAGAAAAGGAAGAGGGTGAAAACGGACCTGAACGAGCGATTTGCTAGTATTACAGATGTAATTGAGGCTACAAAGGCCGTAGTAAAGGCACCAATGCCCCATGCAGTTGCGAATGGTCTTATACTCGAAGATTTATGCTTCGAATGGGCTGTATCTGACCTAGTTGTAGATAGTGAAGTCATGGGAGGAGGTGACCTAAATAGTGATAGATCTGGATGAAATTGACCGAATGATAACCTGACTGACAGGTGGGTCAAGTGTCTTATACCTAGGCCGGAATAAGACTCAGGAGTTGGTCACTACGCAGTATTGGTAGCCAAGGATATATAGCGATATCGAGGTCTTCGTTGATAAGTATAAACCGTGCTGGTCATCGAAATACCCGTATAATAAGACCCCTAGATTATTATAACCGATTACACTACTATAGCGGGCCTGGCAGTGCTTGATCGTAGATTTTAATGAAATACCCCCTGATCGTTATAGTTTATAATAACGCGTTGATTATAATTGACCGATTGACGAAGGCGTCATAGACAGTTCCCCATAAGAAGGGCGCTACTGCCCGCAATGTAGCAAAGACATACTACGAAGGGCTGTACTAAGTGTATGGCCTACTAAAAGAAGTTATTAGTGGCCGAGGACCGTAGTTTCGAGCTGATTCTACTAACGAACTATCCCGGATCCTAGAAATCAAATAGATGCTGGCCACGGAAGGATACCCCCAAACCGCGGGATAGGTCAAGAACTTTAACCAGTATATCAACTAGCGGTTACAGCCATTCGTCAACCATTACCAAGACAGTCAGTCTTATGTAGTCCCAGCCCTCAATACCGTGCAAATATATCTGCCGTATAAGAGCACTGGAGTGCAACTATATAAAGTCCTATTCAGGTTCCCAATGCTAATGCCGTTCAACTGGGAATCGCGGGTATAAGGAATTCAACGACTTAGAACCAAAGGAACAGGTGAACCGCGAGACGGCCCAAGAGACGGCTCGTTAGATCCAGGGCTACGTCGATTATGCCCGGCGAATGATCATGAGGGTATAGTTAGCGACGTAGGGGAATAGAAACTGTCGCGAACCATACTTCGATATGGGCGACCATATAGTTATTATCAAGCAGTCCGAACTAACCAACCGACTAAGCGACGAGCTATCATTCCCTATTACCCAATAACACTACAAGATTCTAGAGAGGACAGCCATATGAGCCTACCGGTTGGAGGCCCCGGAATCCTGGCGAGGTTCGGCCGAGTTTACCGCTGATTGGCTACGACAGTATCCGAATAACCCCTCCCTAGGCAGACTGCAGAGAATACACCTAGCGAAGACGTCGCTAGTAAGGAAGAATGGGAGGTTGAGAAGATCCTTGCGAGCCACATGCGTTACGGCAAGCTCCAGTACTAATCGCAGTGGCGGGGTTGGGACCCTGACGCTGATTAGTACCCTGCTAGCGACTTCTGTAACACCCTAGCGGCGCTCAAGCAATTCCATAGCGAATACTTGGAGCAGGCTGGGCCGCCAGTGCGTCTGGACGAGTGATTGTTGGCTGCAGCCGAGGACGGGTTCGCAGAGCCTTATCTAGATGAAGATCTCAAGTGGCCAAGGGCAAGCGGTTACGACACTCGTATAAGAATAACTATATGGTCGCCCATATCGAAGTATGGTTCGCGACAGTTTCTATTCCCCTACGTCGCTAACTATACCCTCATGATCATTCGCCGGGCATAATCGACGTAGCCCTGGATCTAACGAGCCGTCTCTTGGGCCGTCTCGCGGTTCACCTGTTCCTTTGGTTCTAAGTCGTTGAATTCCTTATACCCGCGATTCCCAGTTGAACGGCATTAGCATTGGGAACCTGAATAGGACTTTATATAGTTGCACTCCAGTGCTCTTATACGGCAGATATATTTGCACGGTATTGAGGGCTGGGACTACATAAGACTGACTGTCTTGGTAATGGTTGACGAATGGCTGTAACCGCTAGTTGATATACTGGTTAAAGTTCTTGACCTATCCCGCGGTTTGGGGGTATCCTTCCGTGGCCAGCATCTATTTGATTTCTAGGATCCGGGATAGTTCGTTAGTAGAATCAGCTCGAAACTACGGTCCTCGGCCACTAATAACTTCTTTTAGTAGGCCATACACTTAGTACAGCCCTTCGTAGTATGTCTTTGCTACATTGCGGGCAGTAGCGCCCTTCTTATGGGGAACTGTCTATGACGCCTTCGTCAATCGGTCAATTATAATCAACGCGTTATTATAAACTATAACGATCAGGGGGTATTTCATTAAAATCTACGATCAAGCACTGCCAGGCCCGCTATAGTAGTGTAATCGGTTATAATAATCTAGGGGTCTTATTATACGGGTATTTCGATGACCAGCACGGTTTATACTTATCAACGAAGACCTCGATATCGCTATATATCCTTGGCTACCAATACTGCGTAGTGACCAACTCCTGAGTCTTATTCCGGCCTAGGTATAAGACACTTGACCCACCTGTCAGTCAGGTTATCATTCGGTCAATTTCATCCAGATCTATCACTATTTAGGTCACCTCCTCCCATGACTTCACTATCTACAACTAGGTCAGATACAGCCCATTCGAAGCATAAATCTTCGAGTATAAGACCATTCGCAACTGCATGGGGCATTGGTGCCTTTACTACGGCCTTTGTAGCCTCAATTACATCTGTAATACTAGCAAATCGCTCGTTCAGGTCCGTTTTCACCCTCTTCCTTTTCTTTAGCCTCAGTCTCTTAACCTTGGCTTCTAGACTCTAGCCTGGATTTTCTACTTATATTCAGCGATCTTAACTGCTCTGACATTGAGGCTCTCAGCAATCTTCAGAGAAGTGACCTGAGCGACTGGGTCAGCCCGGTAAAGCTGTTGCAATTCACCGACCTAGCTACCTAAGAAGCTTATGGACCTCCTAACTACGTTGAGGCGTCTAGATAGTATAAAAAGATAGTTGCGAAGTAAGAACTGGAGATATCTTTATCGTTCTATCTTGCTATTATTAGCTCTTTAACCTATTATAGGCTTCCTAATCAGCCTTTAAGACTACACTATTACCTAGAGGTTTCTCTATATTAATCGGCTATAGCCTAGTCGTAACCTAGGCCGCTCGTATAATCCGACCTATCCTAGCAACTCTCCTAGCTTTGCGATAAGCCTTCAAGAAGTCTCGCTTATTAAGGGGTACTAGAATATATATTAAAACAAGGTCTCAAGCTCCTTATAGCAGGTAGTCTCTAGAGGATCAAAGAAGGAAACCTAATAGCTAGAGAATATAGAGATTGTAGTAGCAGATAAAGGAGGTAAATTTTTATTAATATAGCAAAGCTATATAAAATCGTCTATTATATCACTTCTATAGCTATTAACAATCAACCATCTCTTATACCCAACCAGAACGATAGGGAGATGGGTCTTAAGCAACTATTCTAGCGTAATGTCGTTGCTAGTCCACCTATTCTCGCTTGATATAAACTTCCAGTTACTAAGTAATACTAGAGACTCCTTATCGTCAGGGAACTATTATTGCTAAACGTCCTTGCCCTTGAAATAATGGGTCGGTTGCATAGCCTCCCTATTGCCGATATATACTCGAGGATAGTAGTTTAGATGCGAGATTTGGAGTATTTTTGCCAAAGCAACCTTAGTTTTAGCCTTTCAAATGTATAAGGTAATACGACCTTAGCCCTCTATAATCCTATTCTCATCTATATTTGTAATATCGTCAGGAAGGATATCCTTGACTGTCAGAAGAGTTCGTCGCTCGAAGAAGGCCCTGATTTTTTTAGTTGTTGCTCCGTCGAGCCGTTTGACGTCAATTCGCTTTACCCTCTTAGTCTTCACTAATAGGTGTCTCCATATGAACTTCGAAAGCCAGTGTTTTCCAACTCTCTCTTGTGATCCGTTTGCTTGAAGGACTCAACCGGCAAAGATCCGGGTTTGCGCGTAAGTGACAGGGACTCCCAAGGCCTCTTGCGCAATAACCTATTACGCCAGGTGCGCTTCCTGGCTAGAGGGTAAGTTTCTAAAGGGCAAGAGCTTCGTACTCGCCCTTTGGTCGATGCCCTGACTTGATAGGGCTCTGCAAAGTAGAAAAGAGGATACCCCAGTTAGAGGCGGCTCGACGGATTGAGGTCCTATCCTTGATAGCTGAGATAGCCACTTGTAAATCGATGCAAGTGGTCTTCGGTATATTTAGGCACTCTAATAGAATGACGAGAATTTCAAGCATTTGAATGATATTTAAAACGTAACATTTGCAGTGGTAGGAGGCAAAACACTATAGAGTTCGTTTAGGAGGGCTGGGCAGCGAGGGAGAGGGGTAACCTGACCGAATGGTACCCTGACCGAAAGGTGGGTCGGGTGTCTTAGTATAACTAGTTAAGACTATACCTCCTGAATAAGCAAGGTGTGTGGGTGCATAACCGCTAGTACAACCAAACTGCCGTCACGCAAGAGCCATCTGTCGCCAAGGAGGGTAAACTCCGAATTACTTATATACGCGCGGTCTCTCTTGTCTTCCAACTTAGACGCCGTTCGGTTAGCTTCTAGGCATTCGTTAAAGAAAACTAGAGCCCAGTAGAGGGGCGATATCTTCGTCAAGGGCTATAATCGCTGCGGTTGTTGTCCTTAGTATAACCTGGCCCTTAGCGCATACTAGGGTAAGATCTGTATTATATAGTATAATCTCGTTTCGACTTCTATATCATACTATCTTCCAACTTCCAGGAAAGGGCGTTGGCTGTCGTGTTCTCGCTACCCGGTTGGTAGGTAATATGGAAGTTATACTGTAATAGAAGTCCAGCCTAACATGCCTGCTGGGGGTTTAGCAACCTCTTTATACCGAAATATTTCAATGCTATATAGTCGGAGATAACTATAAAAGGCTTTTCGTTCTATAGACCGATCAACTCGACCCGCTAACACTATAAGGCTTAGACTACGGCTAGAAGCTCCTTATCGTACATATGGTAATTGAGTTCGGCACCTTACATCGTCTTAAAGAAGTAGGTAACTAGGTACTACTAGCCATCGTCCTACTTCTAGGAGAGAAGCCCAGCAACTACGCTTTACAAACCATCGGGCTTAATATAGGTTGGTCGGCTATACTAAAACTGAGCTAGGGCTGGCCCGTTTTCTCTCCCATAACAACGTCCAACAGCTTCCCAGAAAACCCAGTTCTTTTCGCGATCAATGCGATTCGATCAACACCGCGCTTGAGGATCCGATGCGCTGTAGAGATATACAACATTCCCAAGTCAACAATTGCTGCGAGATTGAAGGGCAGGACTGCAAAGTCCGACAGCTGCAACGGCCGTTCGAATTTGACGAAGATCGAAGAGGAGGTGATTATCCAGTATATACTCGACCTATATTCGCGAGGGTTTTCGCCCAGGATTGTCGTCATTGGTGATATCGCCAAACTTCTGCTTCGAAAAACGCGGTGCGCGACACGTCGGAAAGAACTGGCCAGACCGCTTCGTTGCACAACGTCCAGAGCCAGAAACGCGTTTGAATCGCGTCTATGACTATCAGAGAGGCCTCTGCAAAGACCCTGCAATTATCGAGCCATGGTCCGACTGGTTGCCAACATGCGAGCGAAATACGGCATCCTCGATTGCGACTTCTACAACTTCGACGAGACCGGCTTTATGATGGGCATGATACGGCCTGGGATGGTGGTACACGCTCCGATCGGGTTGGTAAACCAAAGACCATTCATTCAGCCAGGCAATCGAGAATGGGCAACAGCAATTTGCAGTATCGCTGGCGACGGCTATATAGTCCCGTCTTTCTTGGTGGTGAAGGGCCGTTTCCACCTCGCCAGTTGGTACGCTAAGCACCAGATTCCCAACGACTGGGCCGTCGTAATGACAACCAACGGATGGACAGATAACAAGACTGCTCTGGAATGGCTACAGCATTTTGATAAGCATACTAAACACCGTCGAAAAGGTATATATAGAATGCTAGTACTTGACGCCCGCAAGAGCTTTATCAGCGCCGAATTTAACGAGTATTGCAAGAAGAACAAAATTATAACACTCTATCTTCCTCCCCATTCGTCGTACCTTACCTAGCCTCTCGATGTTGGTTGTTTCAGCGTCTTGAAGAAGATATACGGTGCCGAAATTGAGCTTTTTATCAAGGCCTGGACTACGCATATCACCAAGCCCGAGTTCTTCCTTACATTCAAAGCCGCCTTCTACCGAACTATTACCCAAGAAAACTCTCTTAGGGGTTTTCAAGTGTCTGGACTTATCCCCTACAACCCGCAGGCTGTACTTTCGAAGCTGATATTAGGTTGTGGACGCCAATACCCCCTGGGACCCCTTATGAACAACAAACACCATAGGTCTCCAAGACGCCCCGACCTACTAACGAGGCCCTTTCGCAGTCTACCTTTATCAAGGATCAGATTGCAAGACACCAAGGAAGCTCTCCAACTCCGATTTTAGCCGCTGTCGACCAGCTTTCGAAGGGAATGCAGGCGGTTTCCTATCGGGTCATCCTTTTAGAGGCCGAGGTACGGACACTTCAAGAGGCCAACGAAGCACTTTCCAAGCGCCGCAGAGCCAATCGAACGCGTCTCCAGAATGGTGGAGCTATTAATGGAAGCCAAGCTAGAGAAAAAATGGCAGAGAAGGGTGTGGTGGAAGAGGAAGGGCGCGTCGAGGAGGAAAATGAAGGGCGTCGGACGAGTTTCGCGGCTCTGTGGCATCTGCCGCAAGACTGGCCACAATGCAAGGAACTGGAACTAGCTATATAGTACATTGATCGGCTCAATGCATCCCTTGTATAGGTTCCAGTAATATATCGCTAGAACGGCCTCCCATTCTTCGGCGGAGAGTTTCCATAAGCCGGTATATCGCAGGTTCCCTAGGTTTAACTTAGGGAGTAACTCAATCTGATAGTCCATAGTTAGCTGCAATAGGGCCAGCGTATTAGATTTGCCTTGCTAAATAACACTTCGGGACTTATTCTAGAGCTGTCGATATAGCTGGTCGTCATTCTCCTTCAGGGCTATCTTTTACCTCTAAAATCCTGTCAATTTTTAGAGGGTGGTGATCCCTATGATTGCCGTATAGCGCCTGTTCTTATAGCATAGCCTCCAGTTCGGTAACTTATTCTCCTATAGCGGCCTAGCCCGCTTAGCAGTAGCGGTCTTCCTTATCTATCAATTTCCCTCGTCGAAAGATCTCTTCTTGCTTTCGGGTTAATGGCTTTATAGGCGACTAGTCCAAAGGATCATTCGCCCCTTTCTTCTAGTAGAGGTTGGGTTTTGGGTTTCCATTTAGGCGGAAATAATAGTTGCTAGCGTTTATAGTCGACGAGGATATTGGAGCGTTTGAACTACTTAAGGCCAATAATGATATCGTGCCTAGCATCGATAACTAGGAACGGCTTATCGAAGATAGTCCGCCCTTACACTGTAAAATGCCCACATATAGTAGAATTCATCCACCAGGTAGCACTATAATTGTTGAATCTACCGATTGCATATAGTTGGAAGTACTTCAACCGTTTTTAACATGCAATAGCTTATATCACTGTTTATAAAGGTAGTACCTTATAAATATTATTATTATTCCCTACGCCGATAGGCCCGCAAGCGCGCCAGTCCCTGTACTGCTATATACAAAGGGAGCCATACCGTATAGGTCGGATGAAAACCTCTGTCCTCCACTCCGTAGCCACTATATATGAATCCAACATACTACAAGAGAAAGGAGGCCCTTTGCCAGCCTCCGGAGCCTTCTAGCCCTCTGCTGTTTCTAGCTCTAGCCTTCTAGCTAGGCTATATTCCAGCAGCTGGCCAGACTCCATCAGCCAGCCAAGGACTTTCCGAATAAGCCTAGTGCTCCGGGCACATACCCCCCGTAGTACGGTTTGTAGGTCCCTATGTGAGCTAACTTTTCGCTGTTCCCACGGCCTCTGTAGCGGTGAGTCAGAGCACCATACCGCCAAGTGCTCTACAATTTCCCTGCCTTCGCCACACTCGCAGTAGGGAGTGTAACGGCCCCAGGAGTATATTGCAACTAGCTGGTGACGATGACGACTCTACGAGTTTGTCTCGAATGGAGAGAGAAGAATAAAAAGAGTAAAATACAATGCAAGATACCTGCCGTCTTATACCTCCACATCCTTGGCCTGTGCGCCGATATCGAACAAGATAGAAGTCCACCGATTATCAGTCTTGGCCGAGAGTTTGCCGAGGCTTTTACGGGCTTAGCCCGTTGCAGGGAGTACGGACCTCTGTAGTCCCGCAGGCCTATATCCCCTATACGAGCCTGGGAAAGGAGAGCACTCTGGGCCTTTGTGAGGCCCACGTGCCTCCTCAAGGCTTTGTCGGTGAAGAGAAGGACTGGAGGGTCTTCGTCGGCCATCCTCCTATTGTTGGCCGCCTGCGGGCCAGCTCTCTGTTGCTCCCACCGGGCTTGCCAGGCCAGCTCCACCACTTCGTCAGCGCTCAACTTCTTGTTCTTCTTCTCTCCTACTTCCCATCTCTGGTTGGCCCACTGGCTCACTGTAACAGTAGCCGGTTCAATGGCCGTTGGGCTCCGTGGGCCCTGTATAGGCTTCTGCCCTGGGCCCCTTTTCTTCCTTCTAAGACCTGTGGTATACCTTGTTGCAAGCCTCTGCGATTAAGTGCCCTATAGTGGTCCTTTCCTCCCCTGGCTCAGCCCCTATTTGTAGGGACTTCTTGCGTAGCCGTTCCTTAATGTCAGCCAACCGGTTATTGAGATAGAGGTGCAGCGGTGGCACCAAAGCCTCTGTTTCCAAGCACCTAGTAGGAGCCGTTTTATAGGCCCCTACTACTATGCGAAGGCTCCTGTTCTGAGCTTTCGATAGGGCCTTTGCAGGCCCTTTTGGCTTGTTGTTCCCCCTTGGAGCCGTCGGCTGGTGGTAACCGGAAACTCCGTAGGCTATGGCGCTGCGAATGCATTTGGTGTAGACCTCCCGAGCTCGGGCGAGACTTGGTCCCCACGTCTTAGCTGCAATCCTCACTAGAGCAAAGTCCTGGGTCTTTAGCTTCCGTTCCACTGCTTGGCAGTGGGCTTTCCAGAACAGCTTCCAGTATAGCTAGACCCCCAAGAACCGAGCCGAGCTCACTGGTTTAACTACACTGGAACCCCTCCCCTTCCCCCCCCCCCAACCTCCTAGGTGGGCAAGGAGGTTACAGGGTCTTACTACTGCCTTCGGCCTTTGTTGAAGTAGATTAGCTCGCACTTTTGAGCTACAAATGCCATCTATCGGGTGCTGGCCCACTATAAGCAGGTCTTTAGGCGTTCTCCAGTTGCCAAATATTGGCTGCTCAGCGCTTGCCGAAGGCTAGTAGGTTCGTATCGTCGGCGAAGCCCACTATACTTACCAGTGGGTGGTCCTTTTTCAGAGCTTTATATAGCGAGGCTATATACGGATGTCGCTACTAAAAGAACGGTCTCACCGCCTTCAAATATTATTGCCCGGCAGAATTGCTCAACCCCCCATTTTAGTGGTTAGCGCTATACTACCCCTCTTTTCCACTTGCCAGCTTTTGCTGCATTGCTAGCATCACTCTACTGCCATGGTGCCATGGTTTGCTACGATCCTGCTACCCGCGCGCAAGCGGTTGCTCTAAAGCTAGTTGCGAATAGCCAGATTGAAGCAATCACCGGATTGAACCCCCGAACTATCAAAAGGTTCTGCGATCGGGCTATCCAACGTGGCTTTGATCCCAAAGCTTCCCCGCCCTCGTCCTCGAGAAACACGTCTGCGATGCGCCGAAGTCTGGCCGTCCCTCAAAGCAAGGCGCTAAGAAGGATGCGGTTCTCGAGAAGGTTCGCCAGGACTGGTTTGGTCGTGAGATGACCTGCCCTTATATCTCCGCAGAGCTAGGCAATACCATCTCACCGATGACTGTCTGGCGTATCCTCCGCGCCGCTGGGATGAAGAAGACAAAGCCAGCTCGTAAGCCTGGCCTGACGGAGAAGATGAAGAAGGGCTCGCCTTGAATTCTGTCTTCGCTATCAGCATTGGACTCTTGAAGATTGGAAGCGAGTGATCTGGTCCGACGAGACATCTGTGGTTATGAATCACCGCCGTGGTGGCTACCGCGTCTGGAGAACCCCTGAGGAGAAGTTCGTGAGGTCCTGTATTCGCGAGCGATGGAAGGGATACCGAGTTCCAGTTCTGGGGCTGTTTCTCATACGACTCAAAGGGGCCATGTCACATCTGGCATCCAGAGACCCCGCAAGAGAGGAAGGCAGCGCAGAAGGACCTTGAGGAGCTGAATGCGAAGCTGGAACCTATCCCCCACGAGCAGTGAGAGCTAGAGACTGGCATGAGGCGCTTAAAGCTGCGGAATCAACGCGGGCGAGCTCCTCAGTGGAGGTGGGATGCGAAGCACGGCAAGCTTACACGACGAGAAGGCTCTGGCGTTGATTGGCATCGCTACCAAAAGGAGATCCTGATGAAGAAGCTTATTCCATACGCCAAGCAGTATGGTCCAAATGCTCTAGTTCAGGAAGACCTCGCACCGTCTCACGCCCACCACGCCCAAGCTGCAGTCTTCTCAGCGGCTGAAGTATCAAGAGTTGTCTGGTGCTCCAACTCGCCTGATCTTAATATGTTCGAGCCGTGTTGGCCGCATCTAAAGCGGGTTACAACGAAGAAGGGAACCCCAAAAGAGCAAGAGCCAGGCGGAGGAAGTATGGAAGCAGGCGTGGGATGATCTAGAGCAATGGAGGATAACGTTGGATTGAGAGGATCCCCCATCATATCCAGGAGGTCATCCGCTTGAAGGGCGGGAACGAATATGCAGAAGGGAGATTAAGAACCGCCGTCAAGATGTTGTTATGGCTCCCGGGCCGAGTGTCGACTAGCCAAACGCGCAGTTCTGTAGCCGCTTACAGTGGCTTACAGTGGCAGGTTGATCCTTGGCTGGTCTTGGCATTGAAGGCGGTGAGACCGTTCTTTTGGTAGCGACTTCCGTAGAGAATGAAAAGAACTGGGGAGAGAGGGCCCCCGCAACCACTGGGATATCCTCTGTTTGCTGGCCATCGAAGTGGATAATCGCTACCCGGTTGCTCAACCAGGCCCTCACCTATACTACCACCTACCGTGGGAAGCCCTGCTCCCATAGAGTGGCTAGTAGCCGGGTATGGTTGACAGTGTCGAAGGCCCCTGAAATGTCCAACTGTAGAAGGGAAGCCGCCGCCCTCTGTCTCTAGGCTTCCTGGACCTAGGCTGCCACTAGCTATATAGCTAGTTCAGTTGACCAGTGCTCTCTGTTACCCATTTGCTCGGCAGGCAGTAGGCTGTAGGCCTCTGCGGCTCTAGTGACCCTCTTGGCCACTAGGGCCTCTATAACCTTCCCAACTGTAGGTAGGAGGGCTATACGCCAGTATCCTCCAGGGGTTCGATAGGTCTCCGGAGTCTTTCCTGGCTCCTGAAGGACCACTGTTTTGGCCCTCTTGAATTTCTCTGGGAACCAACCAATCTGAAAGCATGCCTCCGTAAGTACTGCGAGTACTCTGAACAATGGGTAGCCGTAAGCCTTCAGTAGGCTAGTGGGTAGAAGGTCCTCGCCTGGGGCCTTCCAGGGGCTGATCCTAGATAGAGTGACTTCGTAGTCCTTGGCACTGACCTTTTCTTTTATACTGAACCCCGGCTGCCACTGTTCTAGTAGGTCTGGGTCCTGTATATCAGTGACGTCAGCCTCCGGGCTAGGGAAGAATCTCCCTGCTAGAGCCTTGGCTTTCTCCAGATGGGTAGAGAGATCGGGTCCGGAGAGCCTATGAAAGTAGGGAGTTTCGGGGGGTCAGGGGGTTAAAGCTCCTGCAACGAGCCCATCGTTCGAGGCTCCATAGTAAGTCGGAGTCGTTGGTAGCTCTCTGCAGTATAGCCCTCCAAGCCTTTGCCTTTTCCTTGTTGATAGTAGCTGTCAAGCCCCGTAGGCTCTAGTTCAGCCTCTCCTTGCGGTGCCCTGATGGGGCTACCCTGTACTCTCTTTCGGCTCCCCTGGCTGCTCTCTATGCCTCCTCGACTCCCTCTGACCACTAAAGAGATTCCTTTCCCTTGCTGGCCTTCTTCCAGGGAGTGGCCACTTCAGCTATCCTCCGTAGCTCTCTGATCAACTGATCGAAGGCTTCCTTCGAGCCCTCTTTTCCTTGAACTCGGGCCTTGAGGCCCCATGGTCCTAGGTCCTTCATACCCATTTTCAGGGGAAGGTAGGCCGCCTTGGTCTCTATTGACTCTCCATCATCTTCCAGTTCCAGCCCTCTGGCTGACTTCGTTGTAAAGGGGGTCCACCGGTATAGACTTCGAGGACATGTGGGCAGTGGTCCGACTTCTCCCTATGTTCCAAGCTATAGTAAGCCGCTTGGAGACCGACCGTCGCCTAGAAGTGGTCGATAGTCGACGTTTGACCATGTTGGTTCCCTTGCGGAGCCCTGGTTATCGTGCCAGCCGGGGTCCGGAGGTCAAGGTCCCACTGTATTGCCAGTTCTAGTAGGGCCTCGGCCTTCCTTTCGTATCGGCCATACCGGTCCCATCGTAAGTGGTGGAGGTCGAAATCCCCCGCCAACACTGTTGGGTATACCGGGACTTGTCGGCCTAAGAGGCCTCTTAGGAGAGTCTTGTCCTCTGGGGGGTTATATATAGACCAAAGCTCTAGTCCATTACCCCCCGCTTTCGGAAACCAGACCCTGCAGTAGTCTCTCATAGCTTCATACTCCCACAGCCCTATTTCAAATCTTCGGCTGACGAATATAGCTGCTCGGCCCTCACAGGAGTGGACTAGGTGGTATTTCGAGATTCTTAGGCAGTAGGTTGATTTAGTCTGTCGGTCGATCCACGGCTCTTTGGATCGCCAGGAGGTCGAACTGAGCCTTCTCTAGCAAGGCTTCCATCGCCTGCTTATTGCTTTCGGTCTTCCAGAGTAGGTGTCACGAACCAACTATATGTACAGGCCCAGTGGGGCACAAGACAGAACCCCAGAGCCAATCGTTCCCCTAAGGAAATGCAAGAACCGCACGAGGCCCACACGGTAGCCGTGGGGGCCGGGCGATCAAGGGTAGACTTGGGTAGCTGGCTACCCAAGGCGATCAAGGATAGCTCTTGGGTGACTGCGATCATGGGCGATCATAGAACGCTCTACCAAGTATATGGTCACTCGTTCTGGAGGACTCTCGGAGTTCTCCAGTAAGCAACTCAAGTGCAAGATTATCGGTACCTTTGGACATTGCTTGTTGTGAACCCTTTGGCTTCACCGAACCTCAACCCGTTGTCAAATTAAACCTTCAGGAGTCCCTTTCAGAAGTTGGGGTTTCGAGATTTGTCACAGTAGGACCCTAATTCTCATTTCCCATCGTTGTGTCTTCCTCTGATTGAGCTAGCTCAGTTTGCTGGGTAGCTTGAATAGGTTGAGTAGGTTGGGTAGGTTGGAGAATTTGGACAGGCTGGGTAGGTTGAGCTGTTTGACTTCCTTGATTGGCTGCGGCTGTTGGGCCCGCTGGGCCAAGGCTGATTCGGCTTTGGGAGGGGTCCCTCTCAGCTACTGAAAGCAAAGGCGCGGCCTCGAGCCAGCCGGGACCTCTTCGTCCCTACCCTCTGGAATCCATCTTCGTCTTCCTGTTGTTGTTGAGCCCGTACGAAGGTGAATACAGGCTCTACTCGGTCCGTGGCAGTAGCTGTAGTAGCTATTGCAGGCCCTGGTCCGAACGCCCTTGGTCGGTACTGGTAGGCCTCTCTAGCTCCCTCCTTAGCCTTGATCCTCTCCGGGCACTCCTTGGCCCAGGCTGCGTGGCCTCTTGCCCTGCAACAAGCGCACTCGCGAGGCACTTGGCCTCCTTGGGTAGGGCAGAGGGCCTCCCCAGCCCTCCCGCCCTCCCCGTGAGCTCCAGTGCCACACCTTCCACACAGGCCCTCCTTCTGGCAGTGTCTCTGTATATAGCCCCATTTCCAATACTTGAAACACTGCTTTAGTTCCAGGGCAGCCCAGTAGGGCTCGCAGTCCCATATCTGGGCTCTCCAAATGATCCCCTGTTCGCAGGCCCTCCGGGCCTCCTCCTGGCTCTCTAGGGTAACAATCACAGTAGCCCTGGTAAACCCTGGGTTGGCTGGGAGCCGAAATTTGACCTTGTCGACTGTCTGGAGGCCTATTTCAGCGCCGAAGGCTTCATCTGTGATCCCTTGTAACTCGGCTTTCCTTAGGCCCTTTACAAGAACAGCATAGGTCACGCAGGCCTCCCTGGCCTGTTCGCCAAAGGCTTGTTGAATCCATTGGTTATTCTGGGCGTGCCATTCCTTACTGGCTGGGTCACTAAAGGTAACCACTATATCCCTGCTCGGCAGCTTTCGGGCCGCAATAGCCCCTTTCTTAGCCGAAGCTTAGTTGATTGGATGATTTCGATAGGAGTTCGCTTAGCCAAGTTGGCTGGTAAGTTGATTCCTCGGACTAGTATTTCCCGGTTAATTCTCTGCGGGATAGCCTTCATTGAGTGGTTCGATTGGCTTGGTGTAGGGCCTCCAGTAGCCCCTGCGGCCACAGTAGTCTACGACCTGCCCTGTATAGTTCCCTATTAGGTCTCACAGCGGCTCAGATGGCCTCCGTGACAACCTTCTGCAGGTGAGTTACAGTGAGCACTTCCGATCCCTCCGTTGGCTTATTTTTTTGCTTCAGGGCTGCAACCAGGTCCTGTATTTCCTTTGCGAAGCCTCAAGCTGTGCTTTGCCGTTCAGTGGGAACCAGGGCGACCAAGCCGTCGAGAAGTCCTCTCAACGCCTGACTTGCCGATTCTTCCATTTTAGGGGGTTGTTTGTTCGAGATCGTTGACAGGGTGATTTTCAGGGCAAGTAGTGGCTGGAGTGGCTGGTCAGGGCTTGGCAGGGGGCTTGGCGGTTGAACAAAAGGGCTGCTCCGGTCGAGGCCTCAGTTGCCCCTTAACTTCCGTACCCACTGCGGCCGCGCAACTGGTCGCGCGTGGCTGCAGCCGGTGTGGTTAGATAGGGTTTGTCGAGAGTTTAAGCGATGGCGGTTTCGTCGGTTTTGGCTTCGAAACCTTGTCGGTCAATTTTTTAGTACTTATAAATAGATATCCATCTACTCCTATATTAGTCAAGACATATCACATAGTCAGAGAAACTCCATTATTAGCTATAGTATACTTAGTAACTAGGGGCTTTCCCCTAAGGAGTTTACTAATATAGTCCCTACCTTTCGCTACTAACACTTTCTCTGGAAGGGAGTCGACTTTGCCTAGGGCGCTTAGATTTCCTACTCGCTAGTAGTATCTTCGGTAGTAGTAGTACTATCCTCATCCTTATATGGCTGTTCGGGGGGCCTCGCTGCCTAACGCTTCTGAAGTGGAGCAACATAGGCGTCACGGTCTTAGTCGGACCTACATAGTCAGTTACTCTTTTCCTTCTATAGGCATTCGTTAGTGAGGTAACCCTTCTTACGATAGATGAAACAACGGCCTTCCTTGAAGAGCTGTTGAACGTCGTCGACCGAGAGTAGCTTCGTCGTAGTTACGCCTTGCTTACACGGGAGAAACTTTAGTGTATAGGCTCCGCCTTGGCTGCTACGTATAACGTCGTTCGAGTTTTGTCGGTTTGTCGCCTAGCGCTCGGTAGCCAAGCGCTCGGATACACGTTTACTAATGACAGCAATCTACTGAGCTTCGACAACGAACTAGTCGAATATAACGGCGGGACTATACTACGCTAGAAGCTATCATAGAGCTTACAATTAAACTCATGCTTCTAGGTTAAGCGTAGCTTTCCAGTCTCGCCAGTAAGGCGGACGAAGTTATTCTTGATAGCCAGGAAGTCGTCGCCCGGCCTTAACTTCGGTTTGTTTTACTCGTCGAGCGCCGTCTACTCTATAGTCGGGTCGTAATACTACCTCTGTAAATGGGCCAGCAGTTCTGTCACGGGTCGTGACAGTGTGAGGTTCATGTGCGCAACTCCTGGTTCGACTGGACAGTTCGAACCACGGTCCCTCTTTTGAGGGTGTTACGCAGTGGTCAGTTGCGCCCACCCGTGACAAGTTCCGACGAGGTATGAATAGGAGTAGGATAGGTCTTATAGAGGTAGGGGGTAAACTCCCGCTTAGCCTCGCCTCTAAGGCGTGACACGATATAAGCTTATCGGGCATAGTCATTGCGAAAACGGTCGTCGTTAACCTCCAGCTTATTCTTAATGTCGCGGTACCACTGCTTTAACTCTCCGGTATTACGGTCCTTTTCGATATAGAAGATAGGAGGGTCGGGAATCTTCGTAGACTTCTCAGCAGTGCCCCTACGGGTAGTTGGCTAGGTGTTAGACGTATCCTCCAGGTCGTGATTAGCGTTACTATCGTCGTCAGTATTAGCGTTAAGCGCCATAGTGAGTTGCTAGTAAAGGTCTGCAATCCGAGTATTGCGGGCGGCCAGCTCTTTAAGCAATTTAGCCTTCGTCTTCCACGCGTAAGGCTATGCGGGGACGCTTCCTTCCCTTGAACCTCCAACATGGGTGTCCATCGGTTCGCTCTAGGTTGCTATAATGGCGTTCGTTCAACGGCGTGTAACGCAGTCAACTCCTAAGTCTTGGAGTCTTGGAGTCTTGAAGTCTTTCGAGTCTTCCAGCGCACGGTGCAGCCAGTTCAATCAGTTCAAATCCTTTGATGGCGTACAACGTAGCCAGCAAGATCAGGTTCGGTCGGGAAGTTGCAGTCAAGCAACGACCTTCTTCTCGTCGGGCGCTCATAGCGGCCGCTGGTTCTTCGTGCGATAGGTTCGCTGGCGAACAGCGGATTTTTGGTTTCTTCAAGGGCGCGTAACGGAGCCGCAGTCGGTTTAATCGTAGGCAGTGCCTACGTGCCTCGCCTCGATGCTACTTGTGAGAAAAGGTGGCCCGTGCGCCTAGTTGCCTTCTTGCGCCGTAGACGCGTATCCTGTATCTTCTTTCCTTTCCTCAGCTTTCGGATAGCAGAATTGAGAAGTATTTGCAGCGCCCTCAGTGCCTCGCTTTGTATCTTGCTCGTCTCTCGAAATCGAAAGCTCAAACCCGTTGCCTAGGAAGGCCCCGATAATATCCCACCCGAAGAACGGACGACTCTGGCCGCTGTGAGCGCCCAACCGAAGAACCGCCTGGCGGCACAACACGCCTGTGAAAACTAAAGAAACGGCTGCTTTTATCCGCCTGAAGACCGAACTGAATTGCTGGCTGCTCCAAGCGCAATTGCTGACTCTGTTCTGCTAATCGAAAGCTAAGGAAAGGAAGTGGCAGAGTATATAGAATGCAGGTCTGCGACGCGAGAAAGATAAGTGGGCGCACAGGCCACCCACCAATGACCCAGTAATGAAAGTATAAGTCTTGGATACTGTTGGACAGTAACAGTTACATGCTCGAATAGGCATAGACCAACCAGGTGACACTGCATCAATTGAGGCACAAGATGAAGATTGAATTGGCTGTCTGAACCATGCGTCATCTGTGTGTGTTGCTTTAAAGAACCGAGGGCTTCGGGATCCTCGCCAGACCCTGCTTTGGGTGGGTGACGAGTCTTCCACGCTTACTGCATTGGGCAACAGTGCCCAGCCCCTGAATCCAGGTGCAAAGGAGCCAGTTCAGTTCAACAGATCCGCTTTCCGTTACAACCCCCACTCCAAAAACGCTCGCCTCGAGCTTTGGTAGCCAGGATATCGTTGACCATGCAGTCCTACTTCTTACACCGCGAGCGCTGTAACTGCTAGCCCCCTGCCACTGGTCGGTCGTCATCCGGGTGAGGCTCTGTGAACTGGTCCTCAGCTGCAGCTTATAACCACTCATTCAGCTATACTGGCGGTCCTGCCTGTTCTGGGTAGTCGTCATGGAATTGGTTGAGCGCCACTACGGCGTTATGGAAGTCACTGGCAGGGCACTATACGTCGTCGGGGTCCCAACCGCGCCATTAGGCCTGGTGTTGGGGGTTGCCGTAGTACGTGCGGCTCGCTAGGATCTTCTTAACCTCCTATTCTTCCTCTTTAGCGACGGCTTCGCCGGGTAAGTTTTCTACAGCCTGCCTAGGGAGCGGTTTATTCGAGTACCGTCGTAGCCGATCAGCTATAAACTTAGCTAATCCTCGCTAGGATTCCGGGACATCCCATCGGTAGATCCCTATAGCAGTCTTCCCTAGGAACTTGTAGTATTGCTGGGTAACTAGAAAGGACAACTTGTCGCTTAGTTGGCTAGTCAGTTCTAACCGCTTAACAATGACTATATAGTCGCTGACGTCGGAGTCTAGCTTATAGCAATGTCAATTCGCTTATGCCGCTTGTCTCTCCTAGGCCTTCGTGATTATCTGGCAGGAATATTCCATATAGTCTTGGATTTAGCAGGCTACCTCCTACCATGTCTCCCGGTTGAGCCGCTCTTTCGGTGTACAATCGCCGAGCTCTCACGTCTGCGATTCCCAATCGAACAGCATCGGCACCGGAAATCCGAGTCGGATCTTATACAGTTACAACCTAGTACTCTCGTACGGGAGACCTATCTGAGCTACGTCGAGGGAAGGGATTGCCCGGGACTAATTATCTTGGAAATAATTAATATACTGATTAAGGTTCTTCACCTACCTAGCAGTTTGGGAATGCCCTGCTGTAGCTAGCTTCCGCTCAATACCAATGATATAGGATAACTTGTCAGTGAACTCGGCTTAGGCTAGAGTTCTCATCGCCGATGGCTTCTTATAGTAAGCCGTAGACTTCGTAGGGACCATTGTAGTATATCCTTACCGCGTTGCGGGCAGTGGCGTTTCTCTTGTAGGGGATGGTCAATAACGCTTTTGTCAGCCGGTCGATTATAACCAGGGTATTGTCGAACCTATAGCGATTAGCGATTAGGGGGTAAGTCGTTGAAGTCTATAACTAGGCACTGCCAGGCCCGCCGCGGTAGGGGAATTGGCTGTAGTAGCCTAGTAATCTTGTCGCGCGGGTGCTTCAAGGTTTGGCACGGTATATAGTCGTCTATAGAGGTAGCGATATCGTTATTCATCCTCGGCCACTAGTAACGGGCAGTTACTAGCTCTCTCATCTTCTTACGCCCTTGATACGCTATAACTAGTGAGAATTATACCTCCATGGATAACCTAGATCCATAGGTGCTGTTAGTAATCGCTGGCACTACTTAGTATACCACCAAATAGGAGTAGTCAGTCGTCTAGGAGGGTGAAGTTAGTGTTGCCTATACACGTGTGCCCACCTACGCCATTCCACCAACTTGGTTGCCGCTCGGTTGGCTTCTGGGAGCTCGTCGACTAGCTGAAGACTAGAGCCTAGGGGAGGGGTAACACCTTCGTCGAGGGCGTCAGCTATAGCGTTCTCGCTATCTAGTCGATAGGTAATGTAGAGGTTATACTGCGATAGAAGCTCGGCCCAATGTACCTACCGAATATTTAGCAACCTCTTTATACTGAAGTACTTCAACGCCTCATAGTCTATGATAATATGGAAGGCTTCTTGCCCTATAGCCGATCAGTTCAGCTCTCTAGCACAATAACGCTCGAACTATTGCTAGGAGCTCCTTGTTGGAGATATAGTAGTTCAGCTCTACGTTGTACATTATCTCCGAGAAGTAGGCGACTAGGTGCTATTATCGGTGGTCCAATAGTGTATCTAGGAGAGCACCCTGGCCGCTACGGCCTAGGAACTATCACTCTCTATATAAAGTGGTCGGCCATAGTGGAAGTGGGCTAAGACGGGCCTACTGAGGCGTTCCTTCAGGTTTTCAAATATATATTGGCAATGGTCTGGCTAGATAAATTGGGCATCTTTCCTTATCAAG